CTCATTTACTTTACGACGGATCAAAATAAGATGAAAATGTTAATAGGAAATGTTTTACACACAAACATGTAAGTGGAAATTTGGGTTTTGATTTACAAAAAATCTCTCTCTCTACCTTTTAGAAATCTCCTTAAAATCACTTAAAACAACAACGCATTGTCTGATGCAAATCTATTGCGAATCAAACATTCTGTGCGTTGGAGTGAATGTCACACCTGACGTCCAGAAACCCAAACCCATCAGACCCACAACACAGAGAGACCGAGAGCCAATATTACCAGGTGAAGCAGAATGCATTAATACAACATAAACAAATAAGCCTTTGACAACAATCCAATCCTAAATCAGACAAATACTTTTCAGGTGATAAGCCCTCAAAACTAGTTCAATATTTAAGAAAGAAACATTTGCATTCATTATATTTTAGTTTTCATGTCCAAAATGTTCCAATATTTAATGGGGGGCACAGATCACACTCGCTTTGTGCACAGAAGCCTAAAGCATTCCGAAACCCTATTTATATAGGGCGCTATATAAATACAAGTTGTTGTTGTTGTCTATAGTTGACCCTCTTAGATATGCCCTTTAATATATCTGCTTATTCACAAACCTAACTCTAATGGATAGAATTCGCTAAACCCTGATGGTTTGAGTTATTGAAAACAGATGAGTTTGATAACGGGATTGTGTTGCCATGAAACGTATGGTCTATCACAGTGTTTTGCATCACTTCTTGGGTGCTTTGTTTTATGTTTCGGAACTGAGAATGAGAGGTGCACATTTTGGGCCAAATGATGCCTCTTGTACCATTACCAAGGTCCTCCCATTGGCCATTATCAATCCCCACCCAGTGATAACTCGACAGAGATTGTGGATGTAATTCTCAGTCATGACAGTGGTTGGGACATAATGTCACTGGAGAGCACGTTCAACATTTTCTAGCTGTTGATTCTCTTATCTAAAGTATTTAATGGAGGCAGCAATAGCTATCTGAGGCAACTTATTATAGAGGAGTCTCTGTTTTTTTAACATTTAACATTTGATGTTGCCTAGAAGATCTCAGTTCTAAGGTGTGCCTTTAGGATGAAGTACATGTGCCACAACTCAACTGAGCATCATTATTAGATTGTCAAAAAGATAAAACAATATATTTAAAATAAAAATGGTATTATACCTGCTATCATATATATATATGCAGTTCTAGCAAGTCTAATTATTAATTTAAATGTAGTTATTTTGCCATTGTTAAACACCCTGAATTAAGATCTGATCTTAATATATATTTTTGCGCCACGAAAACAAAGTGATTGCAAATAAATGTTTTTTTGGTTAACCATGGAATCCAAATTAGCAAACCAATTCCCACGCAGTGTTCTTGATTTGAGTTTAACATTTTAAAAGGAAGAGATACTTAATGGTAATGGTTTCGTTGCAAAGTATTTCCAGTCTACATTTCATTGCCTTAATTCACAATTAAAAAAAATCCTACATGTTAGGAAAAATCTTTCTTGTCTTGCCAAGAGCCTCGGTCATTCCAGAGAGACTAGAAGAAACGATAATTCTGGGAATACTCTCATAAAATTAGTTTTCTACATCCCACTTGAATGCTTTTAAAATTACACAAAAATATTTGGCTAGAAGCAGATTAATACTCTGTTTTCAGGGAGGGTCATGCCTCAAATTAGCAGCCGGTCAGATGATATCAGCTATTATTCCTTAAAAAGTATAATTATATAATAGCAGTGATCGGGAAGGGACTATCGCAAAGAGAGAACCTTTGGAAAAATAAAGTAAAATCTTGTCCAGTTTAGAGTTTATTTGGGCTTATTTATAAGGGAGGAGAGGAAAAAGTACTTAATATTGAAAGTATTTTCCCATACTTTATTTTTCCTTAAATAACAGTATCGCCCTGTAAACGTAAGTACTGAAGTAAAGTATTAAGTACAGTAGTTGACTGCTTTGGATTGTTACCCAGCAAAAAAAANGCAGGATATGGCATTCTGGTCGCTGCTAAATGAACAGAGGCATTCCTGAATTCATAAGTCCACGACTGACATCAACTGAGCACATGTTGAGAACCTCCACTTAACCTGAAACCTCGGGATATTTTCCTAACAAGGAAAATCGCTCCCGACATCTTAACAACAAAACTTGGGAGGTGGCAAGTTAGCTCCGAGGAAGTACAGTTCCCCTGGAAGTGCTAACTCGATTCGAAGTGTCGTCCCAAGTAGAATAAAAGGCAAACTGGGAATTCTTCAGAATTTAATTCCAACTAAAACACACACACACACACACACACATTTACTATGGTGCTTGTGGATTAAACATTCTAGTAATGTAATGCCTTACTGTGTCCGTAAATAGCATTGGAGCAGTGAATGCCACACCACCCGACTTTCTCTGTTCTGCTGTCAACGTGAGCTCTTCGGAACCGTTACACATCAAACTCCCGAACCCCCTGTGGACGTGTCAGTCGTCGTTTTCGTCAAAGCTAAAGCCGTTGAATGGAGATTACTCTGTCAGACCGAGGGTGCAGTGGGCGCAGTGATTCGTTGACATCTTTTATTCGAGCCATTTAACGCTTGTCCGGACCAACAATAGTTTCTGAGAGAGAGAGAGAGAGAGAGACGCCCACTTCACCTTCACGGTTTCCTTCAGAAGTCACAGGAGTCCTACAGTCAGACGTCAAAGATTTGGGTAACACAACCCATTCAAATACACATCTTTAATGTTACCACCACCCCCCCCCCCCCCCCCCCCCCGCCCCCCACATACACACACACACACTCCGTTTAGGTCTCTCCCCATTTTCTTCTCGTTTCAGCGCAACGTCGAGATAAGTTTATTTTAGTTCCACTTTCCCCCCCAAAAAATCAGCCCTTTTTGAGTTATTTTCTTGAGCTTTTTAAACGGCGAGCGGTGCGCTCAGTGCTGCCCCAAATAGAGGTCGTATTCTTGTCACGACGTCTTGTGACGAGCGAGTGATCTCTCGACTTGAATGGTCGGGTTATATGGTTTCTCTTTTTTTTTTATCTGTACGATTCAAGAACTGTTGCATCAGCACTTTTGGGGAGAGAATTTACATATCTATATGTGTATATGTGGACAGACATACGCATGGTACATCTTTGCGCAGACACACGGTCCTATTACAGTCCTGAACATTATTTTGAGTTGCTGTAAATTAGAAACATTAAAAAAAAAGCTGGAAAAAAAAGTGCAAAAGTGTGAAAGTCGCCACCAGTTACAGGCACAAAAAGTGGCCCGGGATCTTGCCGTGGCTCTTTGCCAATTAATTGCTTTCTACAAAGGGGGATGTTCGTGGAATCTGTTTCTGGTGCGCAGCAGAACGCATTTTTAGATTAGAGACACATTCCAGTGAAACAGATTTATTTGTAGATAACTCTGGTGCGGTTTATCGTTGTTATTTGTTTTCGAAATCTGCATTGTAAATAGTATTTACAGCATGTGTCCCTTCAATCGACAGATTTGTTATGCCCTGCTGATTTGTTATACACTGCTATATTTGTTATACACATTTGTGATACACTGCTGCAAGCAAAACGATATTTCAGCGCCTTGGGACCTTCTCCCGACATGAAAAGTGCTCTATAGTTTGTTGTATGGTTTTCAGCAGTAACTTGTACAAATGTCAATTTATACTGTACTTTCCTGCTCCTGGTCACATTGGCTGGGTCTAAGGAAAGTGCATGTGTAACTAGACAATTCATCGTAACGTAAATGGGATTAGATGTTATGGTACCAAATATCACAAGTGCAAAACTGCCTTTTAAAGATTAAAACTAAACAATTAAGACCATTCCCCGATTTTATTGTACCAAACAAAGCACAGAGAAAATACTTTGTTCACTGTTCGTATTTAAACCAAGGAATAAAATTTATATTTTTAGATGATTTACCAGGATCATTCTATACTTTTGAGATTATACATTCATTTTGCTTATTGGTCATTGACATAAATGTAAATAATCCTTTGGTGGGTTTCTAATAATGGTTATTTAAATCAAGCCACGTTTTTACATTTAGAAATTTCAGCCTAGGCAACCATTGGCCTCCTGTCTGTACCAGTCCTATTTTAAGTCACCTTTTTTATTATTCCTACATTCTCGCTCTTTCCTCATCTCTTAACGTTTGGATTTTCAGTTTTTATCCAATTCTTTTGATTGACTCACGCACTTGTAGTTACAAATCCTACACCCTAAAAATCCTGTGAAGAAATTCCTTGTATCTCACTTCTGATTCGAACAATTCTGAAGCGCTGCCTCATCACCAATTTCCCTGAGGAAATGGTTTTACCCTATTTACCGTGTTGTGCCTCTTCACAATTTTAAATGCCAATCATGTCAGCTGGCTCAGTTGGTACCACTCTTGTCAGAAGGTTGTGGGTTCAAGCCTCAAGTCAGTACTTGGCATCCATACGGTCTATGCTGAAACTCCTAATAGTCCTAGGGTTGTGTTGCATTATTTAGCACATCTCTCACTTATTCAAAATCTCCACATTTTATGGCAATACTTCCTTTGAAAATAATAATGCTTGCATTTGATATAGAGCTTTATCACGTCTTCGAGACATCTCAAAGCGCTTCACGGAATATACTGTAACGTGGATTGACTGTGTATTTTGCAGGCGAAATGCGGCAGCCAATTGCGCACAGAGGTTCAATAATTGGAGACCAGATTCAGTGTCAAACACAGCAGTCAAATAATCACACTTGCCACTGAAACTTGTATCGTCCGAACTGGATGATCTCACGAGTTGGCCTGAGTTGAGAAAAACTGCTGTGAAATCTCACTATAAAACTTCTGAACATCACCCAGTAAGTGGGCGACATTGTTGTGGCAATTTCTACCACTGTCAAGTCATACCTTGCCTTGAACAGGGTAACATGTATTTATGATCAAACAAGACATTTATTTTGTCTGAATAGGAGGAAATGAATAAATGCAAAAAATGTATTGACACAAAGTGAACCACTAAAAACAAGTTTCAACAATTTTATTTTCAATGATCTGCAACTTGATTCTAATGAAAATGTAAGAAAGTGGATTTTTGGAACAGATAACATGGTATCCAGCTTTTTGCAAACCTAAAATCTAAGGAGCCAACTTTAGGAGAAAACTAAAAATACTTTTTATAAAACCCATATTGATACCATCTTATGATCCGTTGTTTAGATTGTACCCTGCATTTTGTTCCCCTCTTCCCCAGTGAATTCTGTGCTGATCAAAATGAGGAATGCTAGCACTGCATACCAAGAGTCAGCATCAAGCATCTCAGATCAGATACAGCACAATTAGATGCATAGAAATGCTCCTTTTCAGCCCCAACCGCAAATCACTTACTAGTGTGCCATTTTGCATACCAGATAATGCCAATTTATTGTTGAATTGGGAGCAATTTTGTGCTGCATGGTCATGCCCGTTAGGAATTGGGTTGAGATTGCTCAAATTTATTTCACATAGTCAAAAGACAGAGAAGCCTTTCATCCCATCAGTCTAGGTGGATGTTGAGCCATATTTCAAAGAAGGTAAATTTGCTACCTGATTTAGCTTAGATCACAGTGATCTGAACTGAATATAGTCTTGCAAGATTTAAACCTATCTCTCCTGCAGCTATAGTTGTTTTTTTGATGGGGAGGGAAATAACTGAGAAACAAATGTGACTAGGGATTCAACTGAGACACTTACACCAGCGTGATTTAGTCCATACAATTTCAAAAACATACAGCAGTTGAAAGTTCCTCAGCAATTTAACACACATGCTAATGAGACTTCAAGACATGAAATTTATTTGAATTCTTTTTTATGCAGGTTTAAAGCTGCATCATAGTATGTTCATTTTGAATCTCATACCACTACACAATACCGGTCGTTTCCATTCCTGTCCAAGCTGCTGTGATTTGCACTCAACTTTATATTGGCATCAGGAAGTGGGAGTTTTAAACTCCAAGCTAAGATCAACTGACTGCACAGTTTACACTTGCCTATTTCTTACAAGTCAGCTTTGAATCAAATAAGCAATGTCCAACAACTGAAGAAATCTGACATCTAAATAAGAGCTAAAGACACCCACCTATTAAAAGTTATCATCCTAGCACCAATCACGTTTAAAATATTCACGCTTAGGAGTGGAGAGCAATTTCAGGAATGTGCGGTTTGTGTACTCACGTTGCTGATCCTCACTCTTTGACCGTGGGTTCTTGCCAATATCAGACCAAGAAACCAGGGGCGAAGAACAGAAACCTGTGGCATGAAATCCTAATGTTGATTTTTACTGGAAAAGTTTGAATTAACAGAGCTGGGCACATTACTTTGAAAATATGGGTTGACATCTCTATCTTCTAACTGAACACTAGGATACCGCAAGTTAAACACTAAACTTAAATTTACAGCTGTGGTGTAAATGTGGCTCATGTATATCTCCTTTTATGCTTGTGTAAGTGTGAAAATCTCAACAAAATATTGACAAAAAAATTACTGCTCAAAGGTAAAACACTCTGAACTCTTTAAAGTGGCTAAAATAAAAGTGGCAAACTGCAGTGATACGTTTAATTTACTTTTTTGCTGAAAAACTTAATTTAGTTTCATATTGCCAAGCAAAACATTAACTGAATTTTAAACTGCTTCCTTTTATATTGCGTGGAAATACAAAAATCCAACCACATTAATCTGACTTTTCAAACCATAACTATGTGGCAGCAGCTAACCCCCCATTTTTGCAGATAAATGTTGATGACAACCTTTAATTATTAAAAGTGAATTTAGGCATCTCATATAAAAAATGTTATACTGTATGTGGGTAGTTCTTTATATATGCCATCAATTTCATGCAGCAACACATCTAAGCTCAAAATGGCTGTGGACAGTTTTCAGTGGTGCTGTTTGCACCTGTCTAAACATATTGCTAAAATGTACACCAGCAGAAAAGTTACTTATAAATACCATAGTGCATTTCAGTCAGTGGCAAAATGTGTTATGAAGGGAGTCTTATTAGCAGTAGTTTGAACATACTGAATTTCTAGGAAATGGTAGTTTCATGTCTGAATATTAATGCAGCTCACATTTCATTTATATTATTTTTGCTATCTTCAAAACAATTTCCAAAAATCATAACTTCAAATTCTTACTGTAGTTTTGTTGACCATCTAAAGTAACTCTGAATCCTCAGAGGTGCATGGTCACCGAAAACACTTGTTTCAGCAACTTTAAGATAAAGTGGAATAAATTGTGCACAGTTATGTTCATGAAGAACTTCCAAAGATGTTAAAATTATTAGCATAGTGGTCACAGAAAATGCTAAGAGTAGTGTGATACTGTGGATTAATCTGGACCAACTCCTCAGAAAACAAATAATTCCAGCCTCCTATGACTATATACAGTCACAAAACCAACATGGTATTAGGCTTTTTCTCAAGGTAGTTTTGCCAGTCTCAGTAATAGAGACATAGGTTAAGACACAGGAGCTACATAGTATGTACTATGGCTTTCACTACAATAAATTTACAAGAAAAGAAAAATGATGGGACTGTAAATTTTCTGCACTAGCAATACCCCTGTTTCATCTTCAAAAAAAACATCAAGGTATAGCTTCACTTTGAAAAAAATGGCAGCCGGAAAATTTTCAGCATAAGGTTTTGGATATGCCACAGTAATTGCACCACAGCAGTTAATGAAGAAAAAAAACACAGCAAAGGACAGCAAATCTTCTGTTGGTAACCTGTGATATAAAGCAGCTTTTTTTCTTTCCAACTGGAAGATCAATCTGGCGTGCACACATTGGCACTCATTTTTTTGTAAGTCAGTATTCTACGTCTTCTTTACATTTTTACAAAAACATTAATTTGATTTATACAAGGCGACCAATAACCCTCTGCTTTGTTATACCTTCAAAGTGAATGTGCATAAGACTTATATTTAAAAGTTAAACTCCTTTGTCTGAAGGTCTGCAGTTGGATCAAAGTTGAAAGTTCCACTTGGCGTGGTTTCAGGAATAAGACTGGGATCTTCATCAATCTATTACAACACAAGAAAAGCAGAATTGCAGTTTTAACAACAAAAACAAGTTAACAAAAAGACAGAAAAGGAATATTTTCAAACAATACTAGTTCTTCATCTGCTGACACTGCATATAATCCTTCAAAATGTAACTTCAAAGAATTATGATTGACTGTTACATCTTTTTATTTCTGTCAGTTGATTTTCCTCTAAATTTTTTGTCGAAGTAGTGTCCACATTGCATCAAATTGGCTTAATCACCATTAGTATATGGCAAGATATTGAAGTGGAACATCACCAGTCAATTATTGAAGGGATTTCATTCATGTATGTGAATTCACTATCAGACGCTGTATTTCAAGGATGTAGACCTAATGACGTGATGGGCACTCAAAATATTTTTAAACAAAATACAGAATTACAGAAGTAAAGATTGCAAGTTGAAAATTGTTTAGTATTTTTTTAAAAATTAAAACATTGTCACAGACTTTATAAAAGGCATTCAGCTTTATGTAAACAAGTATTCCTACTATGCAAAATTTAGTTCTGCTCACAATTAAAAAATACCAAAACAGCAATAACAGTATTGCTCGAATTAATATTTATAAAGTAGAAAATATGAACCTTGCACATATAATTTCTCATCAACACTGAAGTTAACATTAACTTTCAATAAATACTGTTATTTAGAGCTCTAAATATAGAGGAGCAACTTGAATCGCAGCATCACTTAGCAGGGTGGTCCAACTGGCAGCCTGCAGTCCCATTTCATTTGCTCCCCCGCTAACCCCCATTCTCTAATAGGGCATCTGGCCCTTAGCAGCCACATTTTTTACCGAGGTGGTAATTGTGAAATCGGGTAATGACTTATTCAGAAATACAACTTTTCCACAAGATCTTGCTTAAGGGTTTTGATAAATATTCTTACCTCATCTCCGCAAAAATAATGGTCTATAATCTCATATGCTAATTTGTAGATATCCTCATTTTCATGTTGTTGTAGGGCTTCAATTTTTTCAAGACCTGGAAAATTCAATAGTGTTAAGTCATAATGTTAGAGATGCCAACAAAAGGTAAACTAAACTTCTTCAGAAACAATGCAAAAAACTTCCATTTCTTACCTCCACATTCCTCTATCATTTCAACTAATGTATTTGTGTCAGAGCCAGCCACTTTTAAAATGTTATTGAGGCCATCAAGAACAACTTGAATGACCTGAGGATCCTTCACACCAAGCAGTTTACAGAAAGGAGGGATAACATTCTGCTGTACAAGATATTCAACCTGAAAGAGAAAGGACAATACAATGTCACTTTTAATGATAAACTATATTTATGTATTATGGTATCAATTTAATTTGAATCATTTTTATTCTAATTCAATTCACTATTTATTGTATTTAACAATTTACAATATAACCAAGTTGATGAGATAAATCAGCACAATATGCTGACAAATTGTACATGAATATTTGACAACATTCAAACATGAATTTTTCAATTCAAAGTTTGCTTTACCTTGTAATCCGAAACTATTCTAAATCCAAATTTATAAACAAGTGTTAAAAGATTTCCATACTTTCAAGAGCTTTAATTTAGGTGATCCAATGGCATTACGTACTGATGCACAAAATAACTGGCCATGAATTTATACCTATGATTTCTCAAAATACAAATTCCCAATCTCAGCTTGGGGGAAGTTCTAATACGTAGACAGCAAAATCTCAGTAGGAAGAAGGAAAACTCACAGGACAAGTTTTATCCTGAACTGCTGTTGTGCATCAGTTAAAGAACCATTGACTGAGATCTTAGTACTTATCTTTCAAGACTGTTCAGTCAGGGAATGGAACATAAGAGCTTAAGAGATGAAGCAATCATTTAATGGGATATTCAACAAAAATGATCAATATATTTGATTTGGAAATAATGGAAAATAACATGCATATACATACAAACATTGGTTGCCAATTGATTTCAAACTTCTCAATAAGTGACTTTTAGAACCTTTATTTACCTGTTCTTTTTTCCCACTGATAGTCAAGTTACTGATAGCCCAAGCAGCTTCCTTCTGCGTCCCAAAATCTCCCTGAAAGATCATTCAAAAATTGAACAAGTTAGGTTATTAGTATCCAGTTATTATAGTTTAGCTTCTCATTATTGTACAGTTAAACAAACATCACTTTATACACATTACATACACAATTTGCCCTCAGGGGGCAGTTTGCAAAGGAGGATACTTGTTTCCTGGTAAAATAGTGTCAATGATTGACCCAGTCACGCCTATAACACAGACCTCTCATTGACGACCTTAGGTTTTCATTTGCTGCATCAAAGCTGGTATTGAGCAAACAAGAATCACTTTTAGAGAGTTACTTTTAAGTGCTAAATTCAGAGCTATAAAAATGTAGGAAACATTTTAAAACCCAGCAGTGGGCTAAAAGCTAATATTTCTTAACATTCCAAACCAAACAATAGATTAAATAAATAATAGATTGACAGAAGACTATCAATTTCCATGATGGTGTTTCCTGTGCATAATGGAGCTATAAGAATGTAGAAACCTAGAAATTGGTAGAAAATGAAAATAGAAAGATGGACAATATAAATATCACGACTGAGCAGATAAACTTTTAAAATGTTTTGTTCACAAGTTTGTTTATGTGTTGTTGTAGTTAAGGACTATTATACTACGGTTTCAACAACAACATATTGGGGTTATTTTTGCAGTGGGACAAGAGCTGTAAAACACAGAGAACAGTCAATCTCCAAAAACAGGACTCTTCAGAGATATATTGCAGTCTAAGAATTAATTTGATAATGAATATTCATCAAATGCAATTGAAATTATAATAAAAGTGAATCAGTAAATAGCTTAGATGCAGCTTTATTCTGGTTTCCACCATCCTAACTTTAACAGAGCAGAGCACCAATTTAAAAAGAAAACTTAATGCAACATTTGTTGAAAGTAAAAACTATGTGACAATCAATACTTTTTATGCAATTAACTGTTTTACAGAAAGTACATATTGTACTTACTTTGGTGAGATGATGGACAATCATTGGAATGAGACCAGCATCTATTACAGATTGTACCTGCTGCTGGTTTCCAGCTGTGACATTTGAAAGGAACCACACTGCCTCCTACAGAATACATTGAAGAAGACAGATGTATTTGTCAGCTGCTTTTATATTTGATCCATAGTCAATATTCACTTTACCACTAGTAGATTTAACCAGATTTACTTAGAATATCAGAAAGGAACAATTATAGAAATTAAATTAAAGTACAATTATCAAGTACTGTGCATTTAAAGGCCAGTTATATGTAGTTTATTGGTATAAGTTGCAATATAAATAGGTAAACTATTTTAAAACGCATTCAGGGAGAAAGAATCAATACAGGAATATCATCAGAACAAAAGAATCAATACATTAAAACCTGAAAATTCTATTAAAAAAAGCTACCTTGTTTATCTTTTCCTTTGGGTGGGTTAGTAGATTTGGAAAGTGGGAGAGCACATCACAGTTTAATATAATTTGTGTTTGTTCATCAGTACCAGTTACTATATTACCCACAGCTCTCAGTGCAGCCGTCTGTGAAAGAATTAAAATTAAGATATTTCATACAAATTGAATTGCTTCAGCCTTTGAAAATATTGAATTGTTTTATTACCCGAGTTATTGTTTCATTAAGGTAGAGGAATTGAATTCAGAGTTAACACCATGCCGTGGTTAAAAAAANTCAAGTCAGATTACTTCTCACCTTAAACCAAGTTTAATATTATAAGCAATCTCAAATCAAGTTTCAGGAGACTAAATTAATTGCAATTTAACCTGATGAGGCAGTACAACCACAGAAATCAAGGACTCAAAATATCTAAAATAAACATAACATTGTTTCTATTGGAAGCCTTAATATGAAATGTGAAATTTTGAATTGTCTGATTTCAGGCAATTTATTCTTTTCTGACAGCAATGATGAAACTTATTTTTGTAGACACAAGTTATCAGCCAATCACGCAAACCAGATGATACTATTATGTGCAGCAAATTATCCATTGTATTATTAAAACTTGGTAGAAGTTAATACTATCTTATACAAAGCACCAGTAATCTCAACTGACTACCTTCTGTTGTAATGGTTTACACCGTTATTTTTTCTCACCTGAACTTTGACCTCTTGGCAACTCAGAAGAGGAATTAGATGAGGTACTACACCAGAATCTATCACCATCTGTATTTGTTCATTACCTCCATCGGTCAAATACGACAGTGCCCAGACTGTATCAACTAGAATCTGAGAGAACATGTAGTTGTAAAATATTTAGATGCAGAAAGCATATTTAGATTTGAAAAGAGTGAATTTTATGTGTACTTACATTTGTATCATTGTGTTGTATTAGTACACCCAAAGCTGGCAACAGCTGCATAAGAAACAAAGTCATCTTGTTATAGGTTTTGTAGTAAAACAAAATGCAGATTAATTTGCCTCAAACAGAAACATAAATCATTAAATAATGCCATGATTTAGATCGACAGTGTGGAATGCGAATATCTAGCCCAGCATATGATATCCTACTGATGATGGTAGAAATGTAATTATGCCATAGCATCTGTGTACAAGTCATCATGCAGAGCTCATATTTAGCAAACTGAATTCTCTCCATATAGCTAATTTTCCTCTTTTCAGTTGGTCTAAGCTTTGCTATCTTCTAGTTTGCAAGACATTGAATTTGAAGACTTTCTAGACTAGGTTGATCTGTAACCATTTGTGGAGTTGTTTTTATTAACTACTCGGTAAATCATCTTCAGATTTACTGTGAAATAGAATGTGAGTTGTGAGCATGGGCCAGCAGCACACTGGTACACCATACACATCCCAACAAGATGATTTCAGTCTACACATTAACATGCTCACAACAATTACACTATAGTAATTATTTACAAGTAGGAGCTTCACAAGTAGAATGCCGAAGTATTCCAACATCATATGGAAGAAAAATGGAGGTGTTCCATCACATTTATGCTTTATTGTAATTATGAAGTCCTTGTTTACTATTCTCTGCTGTACTAGACAAAAATAGGCTTTGTAAAAGTGGCATCTGCAGTGGAAAGGCAGAAGAAGCAAAAAAACAATTTGAACCAATGTTAACGATATTAAGTCTGCTTCCAAGATAAAAGAATGTTCTGTTCTCAATGTAATTTTCACGCTCCTATAGCAAAATAACTCTGTTAGAAAGTTCAGATATTAAAGCAAACATACCTCTTGAATAGTTTCTGCTGGTGGAGGAGGATCTTTATTTCGGCAGAGATTGACAATTACCCATGTGACATTCCTTAAAAAGCTGATTGGAATAGAAGGATTAATAAAGGAGAGGAGAGGTTTTATGACTCCTAGACTAATGACATAGTCTCTACACTGGGGACCATCACCTGAAGGGAGAGAAAGAAATAAGGGGAATGTTTTGTTAGGAGCAAATATAGTTGTAGTAGTATATTGTTGATTTGCACCACATGACAAGGTATAGTCAGACCCAATGATTGATTTGCAATATTTACTTCCCCGAGTCATACTGCAACTACTTCAGAGTTCTCATGTATTAAATCTACCAGATCTTCAGTCACTTCCTGAATATAGAAGAATCCATATTGATCGTTGAAGGAAAACAACTATATATTCTTTATCAATAGTTAATAAAACTATTAAATGATTATGGTGCTACACTTAATACATCACCCTTCCTTCGTTTTAAAATGTTCTTATAATAGTTCTTCAAAGCACACAAGACACTTCATATTAGCCCCAATTCTGTTAGCACCCAACACAAGTTGCAGAAAAACAATTGCATAAATAAAATTGATGTTCGGATACACACCTATTATGTTTCCAAGGGCCCAAACTGCTTGTTCACAGACATTTTGATGCGGTGAGTGCAACAACCTTAGGAAATAAGGCACAGCATCTGTAATGAAAGAGAGAAAAATGCCACCTTTACTTCACAATGAAAAAAAGATGAAAGTAAACACCCGGGCAATAATATATTAAGAATCTGAAATCTAGAATTGCTGTGGGTTACAATAGCACAAATCTAAAGAAACTGTTTCCTATCCAAGGATGTCAAAAAGACTTCAGAATTCACCAGCTGTCCAGGATACAGAGGATACCAAGTTCGCAATGTATCACTGTGTCAATGTCATGAATGCACAACACATTTTGTTCTGAGTTTTACTGTGTGCAAACATGGAAGAACCTGGCCCCACAGTAAAGTCACCTATGGTAAATCTGCTTCACTGCTGTAAATCATAATAAGCTATTTGCTTAACATAATATTTTATTTTCTTAACCTTTAGATCACTAGCAGGTTTCGGAGATTCTGGTTTGGTTGCCAACTGGCCCAGCATGTTTCCAACTCACGCACTGTGATGCTGAAAAAAACATTTATAGTAATAAAGATACTCAAACATCTGGTATAGCTTTAATACTGTAATATTAATCCTAACCCACTAACACAAAAAGACTTCAAGTGGCGCAAATGGGGACAGCAAACACAAATGTATACCTATGGCACTGAGAGAAAGATGACGCTCTGACCTAAATACATGCCTGGCTGTTTCTTCTCCCTAGCTCAGGAAGCCTTGAATCCAATTGCAATTCCCCAACTACTGCCTCAGCTGAGATCAACTAACACAGGTCTGTTTTGAGTTCAACTATGATAATCCATCAACACTCACTTTCCAGGCTCACATGTGACAAATGGCAACCTGGATGAGGCACCCTAGACCTATGGGACGACTGGAAGCATTAATCAAGCACCTTAACATGAGAACATCGAAAGGGGGAGAAATCAACTCTACTGGTTCTGTCACATTAAGGCATAAAGGAGATTGTGTCCACCTCTTCACATATGGCCTGGAGCATCATAAAATGAGGAACAGGAAGAACACCCACATTCCCAGCTGGAAATGGGGTGAGCTGTGTGGCCATAAAGAGAAGAAATTAAAATCTGAAATTGTTGGAACCTGTGTTCCACAATACTCCTCATATTATTGAATAGCGACTGTTTAATGTTCAGCAGAGTCCTCAAGAGAAACAGCAGGATTGCACATGTTCCAAGAACATTAAAATTGTTACCGTACTATTTATATAGGAAATAGGTCAGCATTTCTTACCAACTAACTGCACATATTGCAAAAGGTATAAAACAGTCCACTCAAAAATCGAACCAAAATAAATGGAAACACAGGAAACAAAACAATTCACTTTGACTTATGAAAGCAACAAAAATAACATTTCCAATTTCTGACTTAATTTGAAACTCGTCAACATTTAATAAAAATAACACATTTTATCTTAACAATTTTCAGGATAAAAAAGTAGAGGAAATTTTAGAAATAGGACATATCTATAAACTTTGAAATGTTTAAGCATGAATATATACCCTATAATGTTTTGGAGAACGTGTACACATATATTGTTTTGTTTCAATTTTACAATTAATATTATCTTCGGTTCAGAAGTTAAAACAAGATTTTTAATGATGGTTAATATTTTAAAAAGGGAACATTATTCCATTTGGTGGGTTCAATAAATTCAACAGAAAGTACTGTACAGTATATAACTTCACATTTTTCAGAATTTTCTAAATCCAGAGTGACCATTCTTTCAGTCAATTTTTCTAAATCCTAGAAATTCCCGTGAAACCCAGATTTACTTCAGATTTTACCTGCAATAATAGGCAAGAGATCTAAAAACGATATTCACCTACAACTGCCCTCATCGGAGGTTTTTAATCCAAATGATATATGGAATGCCACATTAAGGCCAAAGTATGCAACAATCCAAATGTCAAAAAATCAAATAAAGTAAATGCACAAATCTAACACAAAACGGTAACCAGTGATAATAATAACTTGCATTTATATAAACAAACATCTCAACGCACTTTATTTCTAATGAATTATATTCTGTAAGTGAATGTATAGGCACACATAACAGCTCATCTACACCCATCAATTTTCCATAAATCGCCATTAATTTGAATTTGAGGTAAATTTGGATTACAAAGGGATTAAAATTGGTTAATTAGGTGTGAATCCATGTTTCTTTGAAATAGCAACTAAGATCTGGCATTCTCATGGTCAGATAATTTAGATTCTACTACATTATAAAACTACAAAGCAACAATTAAGAGCAATAAGCTCTTCTAATGATCTTTTAGGTAAAGACAGCAATAAACTGACCAGACCAATAGGGTTAGGTCTGAAACTTGGTTTGTGCTATGCTGCTAACTCAGCTGGAGCAGCAATTGGGGCACTGCAATTGGCTTCAATGTGTTATGAAGCAACTCTTGAATTCTATCCACTGACTTCTGTTGGAAAGTACATTTACATGGACGTTGGGTGAGATCAGAATCACATCACTGTACTGTATTCCAAAGTCGAAAACCCTAACAAGAAAAATAGCCATTTGGGCGAAGTACCTATCGGTAGCTAGTGACTGTGTCTTCAGCAAAAATGTACTCCAGCAGTTTCAGAAGAGTAGAGAAAATTACAGATAATTTGATGACTTACTAGCTTTGACGACAGCTTGTGTTTGTGCAGATGTTCCTGATGCTATATTCGTCAATGCCCATGCTGCTTCAAACTGGATGGAAGGACTGTACAAGAGAACAGAAAGGAATGTCAACAACTATATTAAAAATTACCTTATGCAAATATTCCTCACTTTGAATTAAAATTTATAATCTTTATCATTTTATAAGCTGTGTAATTTGACAGAAATTGATAAGTTTTGGCAATAGCAATCCCAAACAGGTATTCCCATTTTGATATCATTACAACCACAGTACATACCTTTCATCTCTTTCAAGGCATTGAACAAGGATTGGCAAGATTCCCGAATTGATCAAGTCATCAATGGGGGGATTTCTGTCACTTGACAGCAACTTTCTGAAATAAAAGTACAGAAGAGAATGAATAGATTTGTAACATTAAAACAGGGGGACCCTATTATAGTTCTCTCTATTTGAACGAGGCCTCGCTTAAAGCACGGGATTCAATGACTAGCTTGTTTCCCACACTTAAGAAAAAAATAACTTATTCTGTATTAAGGCATATGCACTATGCACAGATGGCTTTGGTATCAATTCCAGTAGTGATGGGAAGTGATGTCAGTGCTCAGGAACTGACATCACTGGAGACTTGGAGCTTTACTTATGAGCTGCTCGATTGGGTCCCCTTTCAATGAATCTGTATCAGAATCGATTCTGAAAACATTTTTCTTGACCTAGTCATTATTGGTACCCTGGATCCCATTACATACGCTCTATTTGCAAACGTGGCTCCAAAGAAATTTTGATTATATATTTGGATTTCCCATTACTACAACAAAACTACACATAGTATGAAAATCCTGGCATTACCACTCTCAAAACATTACTTCCCAATTTGGTATCTGGCACTGGATTAGCACTGTGTTGGTTTCCGTGCAGCATAAGGAACTGAACAGAGGCATGCTAACAAGACACACCATGAGATGCATCAATTCTACCAGCTATACTGATTTAATTAGTCCTATTTCTCAGACCGATAAACCAAGTTAACTTTCAAAACACTGAAAACCGCTGTATTTAGGTTCGTTTTTCCTTATCTCCACCGTTTGTAAATACTGGGGTACTTGTTTTAAAAGGGCATAGCACTATAAAAAGGACTTTATAATTAGGAGGTTCTCCACTAGTAAAGACTTAAGCAACAGATAATATATCAAAGATTATGATATATTAGTCGACCAATAGCTGTGGCTATATGTAGGCTCATCCTCATGATTTAGCAATTTAGTAAATCTCTGGATTTGGGAGGTTAGAGGTGGACGCCAAAATAGAGGTGAGACACTTCACCATGTGGGAGGAGAAAATAAATTGTACAAGATGCACAAGATATTTAATTTACTCTCATACTGTAGATATTCCAAAAAAGGTATACCAGGAAACAGAGTCATTACCTGGCAGCTTGAACTGCACTGAGCTGTATCATTGGATTGTCACTGGAAGCACCCTACACAAATACATAAAATGCATCTTAAAACTTAAAAATAACTAATGAAGCAAAAAGGAATTTAAATGTACCTCAAAAGATCTACAAGGAATTTTTNAAAATATTTTTGCTAAAGCAAAGCAGATCATAGAAAAACATAATAAAATGTTGCATGACAAAAGCAGTTGAAACTAGAACTAGTAATTTAGACAATTAGAATAATTTAGCAATAGCTAGGGCAAGATTTTCCACTGGTTGGTAAAATCACCAGTCTTGATGACACGTGCTTATAATGGAAAATTGTATGTTTCAAAGTTAGCAAATTTACTAATGAAATATATTCTTATGTTCAGTAAGCACATACCTGAACAATCCCCGACAGTGTGATCGATTGCTACAAGAGAATAGAAAACACACTTATATTTCTGTTCTAGCAAATACAGTTAAGAAAAAAAGAAAGTTTTTCCAAATAAAATAAATTCCCTTTTTCAACACAAGGTAAGATTATTATATAATTACTTTCCTTTAACTTAATATATTCCATCACAACTAATTCCTGGATTTCCTATTAGTGTAATCAGTTTTAATAACAAGGAGAAATTATTTTACTATTATTCAACACATGGTGCACATATTATTACATTTTTAGAATTTAAATTCTTGGTTACTTATTTCCTGTTTATTCCTCTGCAAAACAATCCTCCTATTTTTGTTTTCTTCAGATGGAAGACAGGACTACATGATTTTTTTTATCCCAATGTATCTCAGCTATCAAAATAATTGCCTAATATTGTAGGCAGAAATTATGTAGCTATACAAACCCACAGAATGCAACACGTGAAAATTTAAAAGTGCTAATCATTGCCTGATCAGTTTCAGTTAAGAAAACAAATACAATTCTCTTTTTGCAGTTGGTGGAAGACATTCAGGTCTGAAAAGCAGATATCTTGATTTCCTTCTTAACAGACGTTCTCCTCTGGTTTTACACCAGATAAAAGATTCATGAATTTCATTATTTTCAGGGGAAAAGATATGAATATCTGCAGCTGGACCTGAGAAATCCTCATTTGTGATCCCAAACTATCAAACTGTTCAAATAGTGGCCAGCTGAAAATGGCAAATGTTACAGCTCTGTTATAAAATGTTATTGGCTACGATTGTTAACAAGACTGTTAACAAGACCAATAAATCTAGATAGTGAGTACTGCAAGCCAATTTCAAATCAACCAAATTTCGACCTCGTACATCCATTTGTTCATATAATTCTAACGTGGACTCTGAATATCTGAGGTACTCACCACTCTGTAATCGCCATCAATATCAGAGTCATCAAATCCTTCCTCTTGTGGCACATTTCTTTTCTTTAGCAAATGTTCATCTCTCTTATTCTAGAATTAAAAAAAAATCTTAAAAANCATAATTTTAATACTGAAATGTTTTATCAGCACATCAATAAATGACCAATACATGACATAAAAATTATACTAGTCCACACCACTTTCATTTTGTTGTACATGGGAAAGTGAAGTAGGCTGGTGATTGTTAGCAAAGAGACAGGCTAAGGCAGAATGTTATAGAAGATACAAGAGGAAAGGTGGGAGGCCATGAAAGTTTTTGAAAATGAGGAAAAAAAATTGATCCTCTAGGGCTGGGGAACCGATGGACTAATGGTGATTGGTACAGGAGAGACACAGGGTGAAGATTCCGGATGGTGCTCAGCTTATATAAGGAAGAGCTGGGGAGACAGTAGGACATTAGAGTATTGAGCCTGGAGGTGATGAAGGCATAGATGAAAGTCTCAGCGTGCAGGGAGAGATAGTGGAAAAGGTGGTGGCGAGGCAAAGCAGAGCAATGAGCCCAATGTAGAATATGAAGAATAGTTGGGAATCGAACAAGACAAGGTTCTGCACAGGCTCCATGAAGTTAAACAAATATTAAATAATAAAATGAAGCATACTAGGAAATCACGAACAGTCAAGCATAATGATACAGAGAGAAATAATAATAATAATAATCCTTGCATTTGATATAGCGCTTTTCACGTCTTCTAGACGTCCCAAAGCGCTTCACAGAATATACTGTAAAGTGAATTGACTGTATATTTGTGGGCGAATGCGGCAGCCAATTGCGCACAGCAATGTCCCACAAACAGTCATGGATTGAAAATGATCAATTTATTATTGTTTTGTTTTTTGGAGGGATTATTATAGTACAGGAGCGATTAATTAAAGGAAAAGAAAAGTGTGCATTTTTACCCCATCTTCCTGTTGAATTATGAGAAAACAGTTAACATCTCTTACTCTTATAGGAGAAATGTCAAGCTTTAGACTTGTTATATTGAGTCTCCCTATATTGACATTTTTTCATGTGATCATCTTCAATTGATCAACTGATATCTAATTGCTTCAGCTTATCCAGCTTTGGATATACTATATTTTAAAGCGTGTAATAGTAATGTCATTGCACAAAGTCACATCGTTTTGAACTTCTACCTCATTCAATCCACAATTTGAAAGCATACATCTCCTACAATTAACCTCAATGCCCCTGGGCAAGGAAGGATGGAAACAAATCAGACAAGTTTTCTTTCTACGAATTCCTGCTGGAAAATGTGTGCCTGTAGAATAGATCTGGCTCAACTGCATTGCCATCACAGTCAATTAGTCTGGTCATGGTTTAGGGTCACACATAAACAGCTACTTGACTGAGGAAAGCTGGCATTTGTGGAACCATACTCAAGCAGAGTCAACACCTTCAGGAGAGGAAGAGGAGAGAAAATTGACAAAACAAATGACGGCAATAACGTTCAATAACTGCAGTTTTCAGCGAAAATGCTCTCTAAAATAAGACATATTTTTCCTAAAGTCTCTCTGTGTGGTTCCTATCCATTTCTGCTGAGTAAAGGTACAATATATTATGCAGCCATGTAAACCAGAGAAGCATAAGTTCAACTGGTTGTCGAAAAGGGGCGATCAAGAGAAAATATCAGGGAGATATACAAAATATTAAATATCACTGATATAGCAAATTTGGAATATTTTGTCGAGTAGGATAAGGGAATATAAACTTAAAGTTGTTTTAACATGGATGTTAAATTTTTTTTTAACTTAGAACTACTAACTATGTTTTAAATAATAATTTTAATTGTATGAGGGAGGTTATTGCACTCTTAATTCAGGAAGTATAGCTCTGCACTTTCACTTCAGTCAAGTCAAAACAAATCACAACAGTAGGAATATCTTTATCTCTCTTTTTAAAATAATGGTGGAAAATGCAACACACTTTTATACGTGTGTAAATTACAACTAAACATTGTTACGGTTTTATGTATGTAATATTAAACATCCTACCACTGGCCAATTGTAGCACCACCATTCTATGCATTTAAATTATTATGTCTAGTTCAAGAATGTATTCTGAACATATAGAAACAAAATATTTTCAATATTTGTCAATTTACAAACTTTTACTGACTGGAAAATGGTATCCAGACTTCTGCTCAACTTCCAGACGAGTGCCTATCAGAAGCTAACCACAAATATTGGGTGGTACATTGTGAACATTCCTAAGTAATTTATTTACTTTATGTTCTCAATTTTTTATATCAAGGAACAGGTGCACTTCTCAGTTATTTTTATTATTTATTATTTTAAGTTTAGATATTGAATCTCATTTTGGATCAAATTTGTATTCATTCTCTTCACTTTTTTCCAGTTTACTTTTCACCACTAAGCACCATTTCCTGTATCCCAAAACTAACATATATGCCTTCTGTCACACACATGCAGGGAAAAATGCACATTTACTTTTGCCAAGCTTGCCTTCCTGATAGTGTTTGTAATGAAAACATCTATCTAAAGGATCGGGAAATAAAATTCAGCTTTGAACAAGTAGCCATTTCCTTTAAATAAAAATGGCAATATTTATTTTTGTTGCACACATTATTAGTGAATAGTTAACTGGAATTTAAGTATACCTAATCCTTTCGTAACTGAAGCCTTCATTTCTAGGTTGACAAAACGATTAGTATGAAATATGGAACTCACAAATACAATTTACTGAATGCATAGTAAAAAGTAACTTAATTAGAATTCTATCCTATTTAAATGAATCCTACTAAATTGCCTAAACCATTTTTTTCTTTCAAATGAAAAGTATAACTTCATCCTTCTCCCAACCAAAAAGATTACTTGACAAGCAAACTAAAAGTAGACAACTGTAAACCAAAACTGTTTTAAAAAAAGTACATCCTTAATCAAAATTCTGCAGCAATAAATGTGCACATTCATACTGCTGTCTGGAAAACATGAATAGCAGGATTACTATATAAGGATTACTTAGGCAACACTATTGTCTATAAATACTGTTAAAAGCTACCACTTTTATGATTATCTTCAAAGCAATCTTGTTAAAGAATGTGATCCAAACAGAACTTCAACATTAATACTGAAAGCACTCAAATAACTTTGCTATTTTACCTGGAGGGAAATTTATTATGATTTTTAAGGAACGAAAAACTGCACTTTGAACAGTTTTAAATCATTTCTTTTTAGGATTTAATTTGTCTTTGAAAGTGTTTCAGGTTGTCTTGATCCAATCCTGCATGGGCACTCTCACTCACAAAAAAAAATAAAGGTTTACCCTATAATCCAATTAATCGTATAGCTTCCATCAGCATAATCCAAACTGAATGCAATATACCCATGTTTACATTTAATTGGTGCCTAAAATCAGGTTCGATTGTGCATGTAGTTAATCATAGAATGCATAATATTATGTGGTACTGCACTAATGTCCAGAGAGGTAAGGGCAATGCAAAGCTTTGCTTGCTTATATGAGACAACAGATTTATTATTTATTTATCCTCCACTTCTTTTGGGGTCCTTGTTCTCTAATCTCTGCCAATTCAGCTCTGTAGCCAGCTCTAGGAGATGAGTGTGGGTTCCCTTGGCCTCTAAATTTTTTTCACTCCTTTAAGGAAGCACCTGGTATCCTCTTGGCACATCACTAGGTAGTTCAGTCAATACAGTACCTAGAACGTGTAGAAATTTATAAGCACAAACCCACATCCTACCAACCATGAAGCAGCCATCAGGTCGACCATAAAGAAACAACATTAATCATTTATATTAGACAAGTGGTACTACAATATTTACCTGTCATTCCACAAAAAGGAAATGGAAGCAAACATATTTGATGTTATTTGCTGTTTCTCAATCCTCTAGAACGTACAGTACTATTTAATTAATAATGATTTGCTTGAGGCTCTTGAATGTTTCTCTGTGTAACTTACTTATAATCCTTGGGACTCTGAAGTAATATAACAAAACCTTACTTCAAGGTACTTGCCTTAAAAATGTATCATCAATATTTTTCACCAGCCCAATATTATCTCCATATTCATACTTGGAAATGTATGCTTAAATGAGTTGTACATATCAAATTAAGTAACATACCTTTACTAAAATGGAAAAAGCAAGCATTGTGACTACTTGAAAATGAAGGGTTGTGAACCAAGAGTTTGGGCTGTTGCAAATACGGGCATAAACAAAAACTGTTCTGTGATAATCCAACAATGGGTGGGAAAGAATTTGGTGGCATTGTTAATCATTCACTGATGGTTTCCAGTCAATGTGAAGCAGCTGTCCACAAAGCTAATCAAATGTTTGGTTACAGATTGATGGTATTTGAATACAAGTCAAAATAAATGATTATAATCTTGTACAGATTACTTGTAACACTTTGTACCGTTGTGGACATCCTAACTTTAAAAGATCATCAACGCACTGGAGTGGTTCAGAGGAGTTCAAATTGGATAACTACAAGATTCAACAGTCTAGGTTATGAAGACGCTTGGAAACCCAACTTCACAGAAAGACAATTTAGAGAGAAATGATCCAGATCTTTAAAATAAAGGTATATGAATGACTATTTGATGTAGATTATGAGAGCAGAACTGGAGGGTGCAGGTTTGAAAATGCCTCCAGCGTCATTATATTAGAATTTTTCCCTTCTTCCCAAATACATGGAACAGATTCCCAAACAAAAGTAATTCATGCTACACCAAATAAACAAGATGGACAAGTATTGTTCTATATTCTGGAAATATTGATTTTTTGGCTTGAAAAACTTTGAAGTTTAAAAAGTATATTAATGGATTTTTAAGACAGATTTAGAATTAAAGTAACTTTTAGAACTACAAAACATTTTCAATTGAAAATATTGTTTCAATAAACTATATGTAACTCCAGTCCATAAACCTTTTAATATCAAAGGGAACATAACATCAACATAGGGGAACAGAACAATGAGGTCCTGATGCACTGATCCATTAAGTGGCAGGATATAAATTTGTCGCTAAAATCTTGTATACAATTGAAATCTGGGTCTCAGCTAAGAACTTGAAGTAGGCCACTCTTCTGCTCAGCCAGAATGCTGTAAGGAAAACACAGAACTAAGCAACGTCTATATGTGACTATTCCAGCCTGAATACACACATGTGTACAGACAAAACCGCTTACCTTTCGCAATTCAATTGTAATTTCATTTCTCTGTTTCCTCATAGTCTGCAACATGAAAGGACAGATGCAATGTTATTAATTTTTCATAATTGGAGCAATGACAAAACTTTTTCAAAAAAGGCCAATTTATGTCTAAATGTGCATTCAGTACCTTAAAACAGTAACAAGTTGATGTACCAAATGAACTCTTGCCCCTTCAAATTACAGTAGATTTTTCATGTATACTGCATTACCCACCCAGACTGAAAACGTATTTCAAAATTTTATTAGAAACAATATCCATAACTTTCTATGAGGAAGACCAGACACTATTGCACAATGCCCAAACAGTCAACAGTACGAGATCCTTCAAATGTCAGATGTAATGTACGATGATTATCTAACAGACCTCTTGCAATTACTGTATGGAAAACATTTCAAAATTTCTCCATTTTCTAGGACATTTAATGCCTATAGAGAAAACCCAATAGCATTTAAACATCTAATGAAATTAGGATTTTAAAGTCAACCTTCACCAGTTTTAACTGGTGCAGTTTTAACATATGCACTGTAATCTATATTATGGCTTGAATGATAAAGAAATGCAAATTTTCTTTTCTTAGGACTCTGTTAAGCAATCCCTCGAATACCAATTCATTACCTATATAGTCTACAGAAGTCAATCAATGCAAATAACTGAATGAATAGTAAATAACATTCACACAGTATAATAGGCACCACTCCTGTTTGTTGTGAAATTTGTTATAACCAACAATAACATTACATTTGTATAGTGCCTTTCATGTCGGGAAGACGTCCCAACGCGCTGGACAATCAATACTTCGGACCCGAGCTGGGGGTTGGGTTTGGGGAGGGTGGAGGGCAGAGGGGGGAAGGAGGGTGACCAAAGGCACCGTCGAAGAGAAGGGCCTTGAGACAGGTCCTGAAGGAAGGGGGTGAGGCGGAGGGACTGCGGTATGGAGTTCCAGTGGGTGGGGCAGGCGAGTCGAGGGACGTGAAGCAGGTCGGAGCCTGCTGAGAGGAGGGAGCAGGCAGGTTGGTAGGGGGTTAAATGGAGGTCACGGAGGTAGAGGGGAACAAGACCATGGAGTGCTTTTAAAGTGAGGACCAGGATCTTGAACTATATCCTCTGTGTGATGAGAAGCCAGTGGAGTCAGACGAGGATGGGGTTGATAGGGTCGCGGAACATGGTGCAGGAGAGGTCACAGGCTACAGAGTTCTGGATGATCTGCAGAACCAATGGTAGTTGCTAATTTTTTGCTCAAACTAAGTGCCAGTTATTACTAAAGTTCCGGTTAAGAAGCTATAAAAGGTAGAAACACTGTAGTACATTCAAGCCCCCAACGAAGAATCAATCTACATTGATTACAAATAATCAGTCTGGCACCTCTGAATGTGGGTTAAGAACTAAACACTGACCTTAACATATTAATTGTAATGCAGTAAACATCACATATTCAATGCTATCAGAATGAAAATATGGATAAATAAAAACATTAGTGTTACATTTACAATAGTGGATGAATATCGTAAATATTATAAAAGAGCTGCATAGCCATTATAAGTTTTTTTAAAATCCTTAAAAAGAAACAATTCTAACCATTGTTACCAAGGATATCAAAAACTAGTAGCCAATTCTCTGAAGAACTAAGCTCAAAGATCCTAAGTTTGACCAACATGTCCTAAGTTTGCTGATGTCAATCTGGGTGGCATTTGAATTTAACCTGCCAGGTTAGGGGAAAAAAAGTCAGCGAGATTTCCCACTCCTGATTACTACCCAGTGACCCCTGGCAGAGATGCACATGTCGATGTAAATATCTGAAGGCAGCCCTTGATAACTTAGTGTAGAAAGTGAGGAAAGCATCAGGAGTAATTGGCTTGTACAAACCACAAAATATAGGATGCTTTACTGATTACACTGTACAGTATTTTGTACAGTATCTAACAGTACAAAAGAGGTGACAGTTTCAAAATACAACCAAATATTACAGCAGCCCTTTTTTTTGTGGGTCTCCTCTTGAATATCCAAGGGAGCGTCAATTCCGAAAGCAAAAATGGCACAGGATGGTTTAGGTCAGAACTATAATTTGTAGGGCATTGTGTGCTGGGAGACGGATGGTTTGATTCACTTGGGTCGCTTGAGAGCACTGGCGTCGCACTGTACAATCGAAAACGTTTTTTTAAGACGGGGTCTTTTTTGTGTGGTGGTGGGGGGGGGGGGGAAGAAGACAAATGAAGGAGAAGTAATTTAAAAAACACAGGACTGTGCTTCCGGACGCGACCGACTTTGCAACCAAAAATCGACTGAATGATTCCATGTTCCTGCGCACTAGGAATTCAGCATTTTTAGATTCCAGTTTCAAAAGGAGGACTCAACCACCATCAGCAGAACCTCATTCCATCAACGTGTGTGTGTGTGTGTGTGGGGGGGGGGGGGGGACGTGGACGGACGGACGGACGACGTGATCGTTTCGCGTTGAGCCGGTTACCAGCAAAAAAAAAGGAAGTAAAATAAATGACGAGATGGTGTGTGTGTGTTGGGGTGGAGGGGGTTCGCTGAGCTGCCGACCACCCCCCGGCTCAGACAGGCCGAGGTTTCATACGGTATTTTCTATTTTTTCCCCCCCCCCGCCGCACCGCCTCCACAGCCAAATTTTTTAAATATATTTTATATATAGTAATAAAAAAATCGAGGCGGCGGCTTCCCTCCCAACCTCCCTCTCCCCCCTCCCCCCACCCCACCCCACACACAAACAAACCAACCGCTTCTTCCCGCATTAAAACCAAACAGCGACCCGCCCTCTCCCGCTCGCCAAGGGCCTCGCAAACAACGAGCACCAAGCCGGCTGGTTAACCGACAGCGGGGGAGGAAGGGGCGGCCGGCGACCCGGGCTTCGAGGCCGAGGCCTGAATAGGCCTCACGTTCGAGGAGGAGGAGGAGGGAGGAGGAGGGGGGGAGGAGGTAAAGAGGGATCCGTCCCTCGATTTTACATCAAACCGAGCCGGTTTTCTTGCAGCGTTTTAAAAAATAACGACACCCCCACACCACCACCACCACCAACAACAACAACAAAAAAAAAGAAGGGGGGAGTTACGGTACCTCCACATCGCGGCCCTTGTTTTTGAAGTTTTTTATTCTGTGATTTTCTAATCGGTCGGGTTCGGACATTATGTGGACGGACGTTGGGATATATATATATATATATATTATTTTTTTTTGGTGGAAATTTCTCCCCTCTCTCTCTCTGTCTGTCTCTCTCTCTCCCTCTCCTTGGCAGACTGTCAGAAAAATAAAAAAAAAAGGAACGGATGGAAAACAAACCGCGCGCGACCCGCTGACGGTTAGTGCTTCCCGGTAACTGACTGACTGACGCTCGCTCGCTCGCACGGCGGCTGCGCGGCCCGGGCCTGCGTGCGGCGCGTACCTCCCTGCGTGCGTGCGTGCGTACGTGCGTAACGTGACGTTCCTGCCCGTATCCGCGCACGCGCGCGCGCGCAGACAGACCACCCCAGGCCGGGTCTCTTGTAAGGGGGTGTGTCCAGTCCGGTTCCTGAGCCGGTGGTACCCTCCAATGCTCCAGCACAGGCACAGCCTGGCCCGTGGGAGGGACCTGGAAGGGCAGACCATCACTGGCGGTGGGGGGGCGGTGGGTGGGTGGCATCCCACTCCGCTCCTGTTAACCCTGCAAGCCGAAGCCCTAGCGGGTGGGCTGGCCCGGGCTGGCCCGGGCTGGTCCAGGCTGGCCCGGGCCGGCCCAGCAGCGGGAAAGCTGGCCAGACGGCGATATCAATGGCGAGCTGCTACGCAGTTTTAGCGAGTTAAGACTCCCAGCGGTTACCCCAACGCACGCGCTCTCTTGAGGTCCCCCCCCCCCCCCCAAGCCTCGGCTCCTGCCGACCTGCGCCTAAATACCTTCTGGAGTTAGGTGAGCGGGATGCATCCCTCCAGGGAGAAAGTGTGCGTTCCATTCCAATAGTTTTATCTCTGGAATTTCCAGGTGTATGCGGGATGCATGGAACCCTGGTTTGGACACTCTTAAGCATGGCAATGTGTCGAGACACAACCCGGGCCAGCGTCAAAAAAGTACAGAACACCCCATATACAGTACTTTCTCTCCCTGAGCGAGCGAGCAGTCAGCCAGCAACTGTTGCCATACGACGCTAGGTACCATGTTGAATTGCATTATTTTGAACAAAACACACTGGCTTGCAAAGCCTCGGTGTCAGTGGCATTAATCGCTTCAGTCATCTTGAAGCCAAGCACTGCCGTTGGCTAATAATGGCTTCTTTGCCACTCTCCATGTATTGTATTTAAGATTAGATCAGCTTGCTGGCTCTGCTGTAAAATGGTGTATAGTCGACTGGTCACACTTTCAAACCTTTCCCCCTACTTCCAGTGGACATTACTCATTTAGGATTGGATGCCTGAACACACGCCAACAAAGTCACTGTTATCAGATAAAGGAAAGTAGAATATGTTGATCAAAATTGCACAACCAGTCTGAGGCCAAACTGGGGTATACTGAAAGAGCAGGTAAATGGGATTGAATCGATTGTTCTTTCAAAGATCCAGCACGAGCACCAGGGCTGAATGCCCTTCAGTAATGTGTTTCAAAAACATGTTTTGCCTGTCACAACCCTCGAATACAGACTTGCTAGATACTGAAACTACTGCTACCAAATGACATTCAATGAGTTTAAAAAAAAACGTTGTGTCAAGTTGGGCAGGTGTAATTGTCTTCTTTCGCCCTTTGCATTTGGACAGTTCAAATCTCCAATGATTTATTAAATTAAATTATTACTAATTTTCTCACCTCCCAATGAGAAAGCCCATTCTCAGATTGTATGCAAAATGATTCACTCTGATTTTCCATTCATCAATCCTGGAAAACCAATTAAAATTTTCCTTTCTTGCACATCAATTTACATTTTAAAAATATAGCTTTTGTCATGTTGGCAATATTTTTCATTGTGTGGTGGTGGAGACAGTGGTAGTGAATTCATCAAGGGAAACGATTGTGGGAGGGGGTTAAAGAAATGCAACATGAAATGTCTCTGTCGTGTGTATTTCTTTTGGGAAAAAATTGGCAATGATTTGTGGCAATGGCTATGGTCATCTGCTGGTGATTTATTGCTGTCAAAAATAAACACACAAATTAAAAAGCAGTTTAACATGCAGGATTAACTCAAATCCTTTTTAAATATGGCTCTCATGTCTAAGTTGTTGATGTAATTAAATTATTTATTAATTCACATCAATGCCATTCTGTATCTGACTCGATTTTACATAGGGTATCTAAGCTAATGTAAAACAAACATAATTTTCTAATACGTGTCTGAGGCAGAGCTTTGGTAAACTTAAAACCAGTAAAATGATGGTGCAAATATTATTATGCTGCCCATTTGCATAATTTATTGGATCAAGATCAAAGCTCTATGAATGAAACACTTTCTCACTCTGATGTGTAAATTGTGTAATAATCCCTCCAAAAAAAAAAACAATAATAAATTGGTCATTTTCAATCCACGACTGCTGTGCGCAATTGGCTGCCGCGTTCGCCCACAAATATACAGTCAATTCACTTTACAGTGTGTTCTGTGAAGCGCTTTGGGACGTCCTCCCGACGTGAAAAGCGCTATATCAAATGCAAGGATTATTATTATTATTATTTTAAATTGAATAAGATTGAACATCCAGACTTCAAATAAAGAGGATCTCATGGTTTCAATTTTAAAATGAAAGGGCATTTACAAATTATGCCTAACTCTGCTGGTTCCTTTGAAAAAACAGATTGTGATTTTTTGTAAGCACAAAACTGATTTATATAATGCAGTATATAACAGTTCCCCAAAACAGAAGAAATCATCAACTCATTCATTCAGTAAAGTAAATTTCATTTTAGCAGCATCATTAGCTTTCAATACTTGCTCAAACATTTTTACACAGAAAAATAAAAATGTTAGCCAGCACAAGCACAGATTGATTTACATTACAAATACAGCTTACAAAGCAATCCTAAGGAGCAACACAATAAAAGTATTTGATTTCACTTTTGATAAACTAGATTACAATCAATTGATATCCATATCCATGTCATAAATAAGTCATAAAATCAATATAAATATTCTGATAGCAATAATAGAAACGCTTTATAAAGAATTTAACATTTATCAATATTCTTTTGATCAACTTGTTTCAAAGGTTCTCTCATCTCACCCCGCATCACACCACCATTGATTGGCTTTCAGCCATTCTGTAGATCATGATCCTAGAGTCCCTCAGACTCTCTCCCTCCCCTCATTCAAGGCATGTACCTCTTTGACCTCACTTTGCATTTATGAAAGGTGCAAAACAAATTGCAATAGTTGAAATATTCAAAGCAGATTTCATTGGCATCAACCTGAGCTTGATTCAGATGCAAATATTAATAACTAAAATTTAAAAAACCATCATCTTGATTCAGTTGTTTTTATGGAACATAGATCTCACTGCTTTGAACTGTTCTATTACAATGTTAAAATAAATTTCAGGTGGTGTTTTATAAGCTGCAATGATGATTGCTAAAATAATTTAAATAACAGCTTGTGATACATTGAAAGCGTGTTAAGAGAAAAATAAGAGTGAATATTGTAATGCCTTATAATCATTACATATGATGTGGATGGACTTTGATGCACATATAATGTGGAAGTGTTGGGAAAAGATGTTGAATCACGATGGATTCATATGGCGCTAAGCTCCCAAGAATACAATGGAATTGAAACCTTTCCTCACTGATTTGCAATTGGTTTTGTAGATGGAAGTTGAATGAAGGTAAAACAAAAGTTTCTTTGTTATGGTGAAAAAGGGAGGGATTATCAATGGCCATTGGATGGGACCCACTTACTTCTTCGACCAGAAAATACAAGGATTTTTGTAGTTTAAGTGAAGAATGTCACATCAATTGCATCATAAGATCCCATTCTGGAGGTAAATTATATAATTATCTAGAAACTGGTTATTAAGGGTAGTCAAGGGGGTTATTTGGTCCATTATTCGATAATTTGAGATTTTTGTCATCAACTATATCAAATAAGGGGGAAAAAAGCAAAATTTGTGAAAACAATTTGAATAGTGAGTGACCTGGATTACTGAGGTATCTGCAGGGTGAGGTTCTACCAATAATTAAAATACGACTGTCTCATGGACTTGATTTTGAAATAAGCACCCATCAGATACTTTAAATATGGAGTTTGTGGGTTCCCATACTGGACTGCAAATCTGTTCCCTTTGATATTACACACCTTTTGAAAAGTAGATAATAAATCTCCTACAGTAACAACTTATAGATTACAATTATCTTTGACATGACAGCTCCTTGATTTTTCTCCACCATCCTGATTTTACCCTATAGTCTCTACCAAAGCTGAAGTCACCCGTGCTGAGGTAGATGGGTAAGTATACTACTCCTAACACTGACAATGCCATTCTTAAACAAGGCAATGGACTGAGGAATGAGCTAATATTTTATTTTTTCACCCTAGCCCCATAGAAAGCAATTGGCTTTCAATTTTCCCCACAATTCAGATATCGTACCAGTTAATGGTTACAGCATATTTGCAGAAATCCACATAATCACCTCAGTCTTTCTCATATAATTTAGTTTGAAAACGTCAGAATTTGCATCATAAATTATTAGTTCAATGTTAAGCATCTCTAGACTGTGTGGAAAAGATGACAAATTCATTTGTTTCTTATTCTTTCTTAGATAATTTTGCTATAGTTCCACAAATGTTAAGAAAATTTTAAGAAAAAAAGAAAATTAACAAGATGTGCCATGTTCAGATAGACCTGGTAAAAGTGTTAAATTCAAAGTGGCATTGCCTATATTTTCTAGCATTATAATTACTTGATATTTCAGAATTCTTCTTTAGTAAGTGTATTCATTTTCAGATTCCTACCAAAACAAAGTTCACTGAATTTGAGTAATAACTTCACAATTAAATGCAATGATAGAATTGAATAGATGCAATTTTTATGTTTAACAGTACAAAAATAAAGTGTCTTAAGCACGATCATGATGGACCCTTTAAAATCTAAATTCATAAACTGCAATGAGCACACAGCAAGATGAGATTGACAGTAACTTCCTGTCAAATGAAGGAGCTTGTAAACAATCTGTAGCTCCTTTGGTCAGGGAGTAGTCTTTAGGCTTTGTATTTCCTTTTTCCACCTTCACTAATCACACAAATATGCTGAAAGAGAAAATAAACAAGATATGAACAAGATAAATGTACTGATAATATTTACTAACATCTTTTACGTTATGTTATTGAACACTTCACTCCTGACAAAGTAGCATATAAGCTTTGCTATACAAGTTTAAAAACATGCAACTATGAATCTTTAAAATAAAACTTACTGAATTATCAGAATGATACCAATTTTTCTCAAATGGGATAAATATAATGGTCTCTTCTACATAAAAAATACAAAAGGCATTGTTCCTCCATAGAAGCCCAGAGAACATATTCCCAGATCTCTATGTAGCTCTTATAATAAGCACAGAGTATTGGATGGGTTAAAGCAGCACAGATTCTATATGCTTCAGTGGGAGACAAAGCTTGAAGTTTTAGCTTCAATATTCCATGGTTCAACATACTCACTACTGCAGCTGTTATGTGTCAGAAACATGTTAAAGAATTCCTATGGAGGAAGTCAGCAAGGCAGCAGTAAAATCAAACACAGCACTGAACTAAAAAAAATCAGTAGAGCAATATTTTATTCATGCAATTAAAGAAAATCCATCATCAAGTAATATTCACAAACTTGCAGTCTATGTATTTGAAGATTCACTTTATTTTAAAAGGTACTTACATTTAAGTCTCTAAAGTATTCATTATAATCCAGGGCATATCCCACCACAAACTTATCAGGGACTTCAAAGCCTATGACTGATTAAAGGTCATCTTGGTTAGCAAAGAATACAAATTTGTTATTGCAAATGCTAAAAAGAAAATGGTAAACTACAAGACCCCACTGCGTTTCTCAAAATTCAACAGAAGATGGAATAGGTTCTCTGAAGTACAAAACTCCAGACAGACAGACTTTCTCTTCTGTCCAACACAATTCTTAAAACAAAAGGCTCACTTAGCTCCTAGAAGCAAGACGTGGGCCACCAAGTAAGAAAGTTCTGGAAGGAGCCATAAAATTTGATCTTCACAATACATGTGTATAACACCTTTCATGTCAGGAGGATGCCCCAAGGCGCTGGACAATCAGGAATTTGGAACCGAGCGAGTGGTTGCAATCAAGAAGGGTTGAGAGTAGGGAGGGTAGGAGAGTGGCCGTAGGCGCGGTCAAAGAGGATGGTCTCGAGACGTGCCTTGAATGAGGCAAGGGGAGCGAGGCACATCAAATGCAGTCAAAACACCAATGACCAAGAGCTCCACCCTTTTTCAACCATCAGCTTGATTTAAACGAAACTGCAACAACAGTGCTCCAAAATAATAGACTATACAATCCCATCAATTATACTAAATTACAAGTGAAAGAAACTCGATAACCATTTATAAATCTTTAAACAATTTAGAAAACTTTTGTTTTAAATGTTACACTTACAATCTGGTCGATAACCTACACTCCGTGGTGTTCTTTTAACCAGCAAACTGAAAATAAAAACACAACGATAGTGAAAATTATGACCTTATTCTAATTAGTAAAAGATAACTAATAAAATTATGAGTACAATCCATAGTGCTGGCTTTCAACCAGAACTCAACTTCCTAACATTATCAGCGCCATCTCCAAAAGGGTGGAGATAGCTGAAAATCTAACTTAAATGACAGGGCAGAACCACGCAGTTTTTTAAAACAATTCTGTAGTGTTTATTTAAGACTCAACACAATGCTAGCCAACCTTAACACTAAACACAATGCTAAAAAATTTCATTTTAAAACAAAAATGATTGGCTAGTACTCACAGCAAGCACAATCTTACCTCACTACTTTAACCATGTTGGGTTTGTAATCCTTCAACATATTGAGAAGGGTTTGCATAGTTTTGCCAGTGTCAATAATGTCCTGAAAATAAAATAAATAAGCCTTAATGAATGCATGATTTGAACAGAAAATTATTTCAACACAAATATAGCTGTTAATTCTAGTTTCCATTATTGCTTACAAGTGTAAGAAAAACCTTCCTGAAGTATAATAGTGGGGGGTGGGTAAGGAAGAGCATAATTGGCTGGCACGTTTGCCCACAAATATACAGTCAATTCACTTTACAGTATATTCTGTAAAGTGCTTTGGGACGTCGAGAAGACGTGAAAAGGGCTATATCAAATGCAAGGATTATTATTATTATTATTAAAATGGTCCTGCAGTTGGGCCTTTGAGCTCAGAGTCTAGGCAGGGGCGCTGCATTGTTACAGGTAATGTCCTTTGGATGAGATAAAGCTAATTTAAGAAATGTGGTGCACCAGTACTTGAATGATCTTGAGCTACTATTCCAATTTGAGGAGACAGCAGTCTCTGTTGTAAAGTTACTTTGATTCTGAAAGACAGTTTTAACAGTCAAGTAATGCATTGCCAAAGTTGTACCTTTTTCTCCATAAAAACTGCACTGGGATTGATCAGATTTAGATAAATAAATTCTTAAGTACTTAGAAAGCAGTTGCCTAAAAAATGAGTGCTTCTACAAATAAGTTAGAAATCCTATAAAATTGAAAATCTGTACTTTATACGCTGGAAATATTGTAAAACTATCACAATTATAACATGTACAGTTAATTTAATAAAATATTGTGAACTTACCTCAACTATCAAGACATTCTGTATCATAGAAGAAGAGAAAATGTTAAATATTTAATATTTTTCAAATGCCACATTTTATCAGTGAACAGTTAAGATTTCCTCACTTTCATGAATATTAAACTGTTTAGGCCATTGTCATAAGTACATTGACTTCCCAGCTAAAAATGTCAATAGGATTATGAGAAATTCAAAAGCTTTTGTGTAATTATCTAACTGCAGTGAAACATTGTGTATTATAATCCAACTCGCTTTGTCTCTGATATGCTACCAACCTCAGGAATCTAAACAGTCTCAAACATTTAACAATTAAATTTAATTATCAAACTGCAAATGCAAAGATTATTAACAATGTCTGATCCATCCAAACTATTGTACTTAAAATGCACATGGATAGCACATATAACCAATCTTAGCAGTTAAAAAACTTGCTCCAACTCATGTGATAAACTGAATAATATATTCCTTATACACTACTTCAGTGATGATGAGTTACCGAACATTTATGAGATCAAAAACTATGAATTATTAGGAAAATTACTGGTGGCATTTCCAATGTACACCACCATCTGAGACAAACGGAATCTCTTCCATCCCAAAGCTAGAGATTTTCTATTCACATGATGTGATGTTTTGGTTACTTATTCAAATCAGAAACAAACTCAAGAAAAAAGTGTACATTTACGTACCTTTCCAGTTAATGTAGAAAGATCATCTCCACCGATTACTTTTATATCACCGGTTGACTGATCATTCTGCAATTTAAAAATGATATTTTTTGTGACATTTACATTCAATTCAACAATACTTGATAAAGATTAATGCAATATTGAATCACTATAAAGTGGATGTTGCATGCACCCCTTCACAGTAAAAACAGCATTATGGTAGTCCATCACACCTTGTTGCAATATCCTATAGGACTATGGTAACCACTTTAAGTAGATTTTGGGGGGGGGGGCAGAAGGACAGAAAAGAAAAAGAGAAGACGTATATAGCCAGAGTTTCCAAGCCAATGATTCCAAGCTGCTTGTTAGTTTTAAGATAACAGGAAACGTCTTTAGAAGTCACATGTACATTCAATATGTAAAACAAGATCAAAATTAAGTTACAATAAAATATGAAATGTACTCAATTGATAACAATACGCTGTTTCCAAATATGATTTTGGTTAGCTCCAATGAAACAATCAAACAGTTTATGTTACAGAGAAATAGAATGAATTCTCACAATAAATGTGAATCTCTCTAGTGCAGACAATTTGTCTGGTTTCATATACTGAGTTTATAACATGATCTAGTGCACTTGAAAATATGAAGGGGAATAATGAACTGTTTTAACAGCTGTATATTCTAATCAATTAAGGTTGCAGTACATGGTAAAAAAATGCTTACGCAGTAACTCTTCAGTCTGATGAAGTCTACTGTCATTGGGATAGATCGGTCACTGTTCCGATTCAGTGCTTTGATGTAGTCTAAAAGATCAGCAAAAAATTTATAGCCACCCTTGAGTACACAGAGGGCTACAATGTGGTGATCTCCCATAGCTTTCATTATATCTCTGGCCAAACGTTCAGTCCTGTGAATAAAGATAAACTAATTTGTATCGGCTTGCATTCATATCTTTTTTGTATACACTTAAAAACTAGTTGATATAAAAGCAATCAAAATTTTAAATGAATACAGAACCAGCTTTCTTTTTTGAATTAATGCACAGTTTCTCACAGCAAATTACTTCTTGAGCAAATTTTTGAAGAAAATCAAAAGAACCCAATTGCCAAAAATCACCATGTACAGGTTGTTTTGGCAGCACATTGGAGCTGATTCAGGATCTGCTCAAATAGTTCAACAGTTCTCAAGTGGTCCAAAAATGTAAAAGATATAATTAAGCGTTATTGAAAAAGGTTGGTCGTGTGACTGTTTCTCTGACAACATTAAAATACTAACACCAATTTCTCAAAGTTCTATGCATTTACATAATAACATTTGTATGTAACAATCCTCAGCCGTGGCCAAAGTGATAAGTAGCAAAAAGTATATGAAATCAGGCTTGGCTACTTCAAATTAATTTACTGCTTGAAGCAATACTTCTTTGGTGCCAGCAGTAGAAACACATGTATAAACATGGTGAACAACTCGTCCAAGTGACCATGTGTGAGCTTGCAACTTTTTCAATTAAGTCTATAACATTTGGAATCTTAAAAACTATTGAAGATAGCACTGCGACAAGATGGTAAAGTTCCATTGAGAAACTGTTCTCTTTGTTTTTGTTCAGCAAAACATCTGACGTATAAAAGCAAACCTTGAATTTTGAAACATTAGCAGAAGAAATGATAAAGGATACAATGTGTCCCTTGCATATTGGAAAGCAACTTATTTTGTTTCTCCTGTTAAATTTTATCTTAATTCAAAGAATGAGCTGACCATGAATTGAACACAGAATTTTTCCATCTGTGAAACTTCCCACAAAATGCCCTCAAATTTGTAGACCAGTACTAGATCAGTGAGCCAACCTCATTTAAGTCTGTTCACATGGAGGCTTCATGGTAACTTCCTATACTTACAAAGCAAATGGGTTAAAATGCGTAGTAATGGCTGAGATTATACTCTGACCAAATCGAAAAATGAGCCAAATGCAGTGTCAAATTATTTAATTATTTTGCTTTTATAAAAAAACTAACATTTTAAATAACATAAGTATGCTCTGAGTAGCTCAAAAATACTTGCTAAAGCCATTCCCAAGAGTGAAAGTCGTAAAACCCCAGAAAGTTTTAGGTTTGACCCCCTGGTCTTTGCTAAATTGGTTAATGTTAGCTACAGCAGGTCTATTGACATTAGTCTCTTGGATTACAGGGGCACACATGCACACAAAATAAATCAAGCTAGGAATATTGCTGGAAAGTGGATGTGTTAGTTGTGATGCTCTCATGGTCAATTAGCTTACTGACTCATCAAGCTTACTGCCATTTCGATGGAGAATCAGAAGGGAGTTGTGAGTTAATATGGCTCCACTCCCTACATGAGATGAGCCAGTTCTTTCTAGCTCCACATGGTCCTCATTAAATGTCTGTCTCAACCCCAATTCACAGCAAGTGCAATCCAGCCCGACTGAAAACCAGTGCTCTCACACAAAGTCTATAAGGATGGAATGGAAAATGTCACTATTGCAATACTGTTCTGGCACTAATGTGAACACAATTTTGCTGAGGTAAAGGGAGCTTCAGATTACATGGAATGGGGATGTTCGGTACTTGGTTTCTGCAGTGGAAAATCTTTGTATTCCCACCAGTGCTATACCTCATCTTTATCAACACAAATATTCACTCAAAAGCATCTTCACAATGATATAACATTTCTAATTATACAATATACCTTGTCTTCAAATTGACAATGGCTGACAATATGTAATGATATTACGGGAAAGCATATTCACTTTTTTAAACAATTTGCTCAAAAAACTAACAAAATGTGTTTTTCTAGATTTGTACAAAAAGTGTTACATTTTGAGACAGATTTAAATAAAAGTTACTTTTCTTCCTCTTTTTGTTCAATGGAATATATTATTTAAATTTTAAAAAAGACTATCAGGATATTCAAAATACAATGAAGATTACTAACCTGTCCATGATTAGCCCATGAGGAATATAGACTCTTTCTAAATCATCGGAATAATGTTTAGGGATACAAAACTTATCTAAGTCATATCCCTCTTCTTGATCGGTTATCTGTAAAAATAAAAACAAACTTGAAATCAAACTCAAATCATAATCTGAGAAGTTTCCAAATATTGTTGTTCTGATACTGATACTTCTAAAGATTTGAAATATTTCAAAAGTTGGTCTAGCAGCTTATAATTTAAGCATAAGTAATTATAATGATTGCACCTGAAACAGTACCTTTCATGTCAGAATGTCTCAAAGTTATTCACAGAATTTACAAATAAATAGTGAGTTAAATGAAACAAAGAGCCATCCTCCTATAAATCATGAACTGCTTATAAACCACTGAATCTTACCACAATTCTTAAGCATGATTTGCATGAAAGAAGCATGATTTGTATGTTACATGAAATATATATGCTTTGCAGAAGAATAGAAACTGATGACTTCAGGCATAAAGCTATTAATGTCTGTCTGTTCAAACTTTCTTTATTCCATGTGCTTATATCTATAGAAAACAAGATCATAACTATAGTTATAGCAAACCACAATTTGTGTGGGATGGAAGAATGAGTTTAAACCCTTATGTAAACATCCATTTGAAGTCAAATTTTAAACTGTTGGAAGATTTATCTGGAACTTTTCAACTGCATTTGATAATAAGAAGACAATGTCCATACCATAGGGTGATATACTCTGCTTAGTGGGTATTCAAATAAGAATCTGCATGACTGAACCAGAATTGTAGCAGTCAGTTTCATTCCAAAATCAAAAAGGACTGCATTTAATCACAAATTCACAAATCTATTTCTCTGAACAATTACTAACAGTCTGCCAGGCAACTCCCAATAAGTACACAAAGTCTCTTTGTACTGTAAAAGCATTAAAATCTAATTTTAAAATAACTTCATTTTTTTAATTCTATATTTACTTAAAGCCCATTTCACGACTCAATGGAAATTGAAAGAAGCAAATAATGTAATGACATTTACTAAAACTATTAGCAATGGCAATTTTGAGTAGTTTACATACAAATGTTAGATCAAATTACAGTAGCAAGAAGACATCGGTTAATCCATCAGAATAATTCGGCAACATCAACTATTACCAGCAGATAAGAGCCAAGACAATCATTGATTCCAATGTTGTAAGTATTCCGTTTCAAGCAAAAAATAAAAAAAAACTTTATTTGTAAAAGATTAAGATAACCCAACAAGCCAAGTGGAGTCCTGTAGCTCAGTGGTTAGAGCACTCGCTTTGCAAGTGAGAGACCTGAGTTCAATTCCAGGCAGGGCGAAACCTTGGGCAAGTTTCCTTACTTCACACGCCTAATAATAATCCCTCCAAAAAAAAACAATAATAAATTGGTCATTTTCAATCCATGACTGTCTGTGGGACATTGCTGTGCGCAATTGGCTGCCGCGTTCGCCCATATATACAGTCAATTCACTTTACAGTATATTCTGTGAAGCGCTTTGGGACGTCTAGAAGATGTGAAAAGCGCTATATCAAATGCAAGGATTATTATTATTATTAAAGTGCTAAAGGTCAAGCAGCATGAAGTTTAGAAGTATTCTGCACAGTTTAACTGGCAAAATGGTCAGTGCAGATGGTCAGGTCCCAAGCCTTGTTCGGGTCATGACCCAACTGTGCAGCGCCTTGGGACGTCCTCCTGACGTGAAAGGCGCTCTATAAATGGAATCTTGTTGTTGTTGTTGTTGTTGTTTCTTGCTTTCATTTAAATTCTCTGGAATTAGGTAAGCAGATGCATTCCTCTGGGTACAAACTCCATACTAAACAAATAATCCTTGCATTTGGTAATAATCAGTTTCACACTGGGAGGAAGTCTTAAAGCGCTTCACAGGATTTACTGCTGAATGAGGTGACTGAATTTGCAGGGGAACACGTTAACATAGCTGAACATCCCACAAAAAAGCTGTGGAATTATTGGCCAGGGTACCGGAAGAATTACTACTGGGGGATGGGGACTGAGGTCTGCTGAATCTTGATAGAGCTAAACTGGTTCTTACCACCTGTTAACCATGCAAGCTAAAGTCATTGCCAGTAGGGTGACCCTCCATGGAGAACCAACAGGAAAAGCTTGTCCGAGGTTGCATAGAATGGAAAGCCATGAAGTTTTTGCCAGTTGAACTCCAGCAGTATCCCAATACACACTCTGAGATCCTCAAGCCGGAGCTCTTGCAAACCTGTACCTAAGGCTTTAAATTCATTCTTGAATCACCAAGCAAAATTGTGGTTTGTTAAAACTATAGTTATGATCTTGTGCTTTTTTTTGGCAGACAATAAGCACGAGGAATAAAGAACGATTGAGCAGGCATAAAAGCCTTATGCCTGAAATCACCAGTTTCCCCTTCCTGTCAAGCGCGATTCTTTCATGTTATGAGCAAACAGTTATGAGCAAATAATTATTATTATTCTAAGAAGAAAAATAGTGGTCAGATTCAGTAGTTTATAAGCAGTGCATGATGTACAGCAGGAGGTTTCTTTATTTCATTTAAGATGCACCCATCACAAAATGCAAGCGCTTGCTCTCCGATACGTTCTGTGAAGGGCGGCGGTTTCGGAAGCAAGGAGTTTTTTTTTCCACGCCAATCATTTACAGTCCACACCAAAAAAAGTATCTTAAGCGACCAGACCAATTTCCCAGACGTTTCGAGGTAATAATAATAATAATCCTTGCATTTGATATAGCGCTTTTCACGTCTTCTGGACGTCCTCCTTCAAGGCCGGTCTCAAGACCTTTCTCTTTGACCGTGCCTTCAGCTCCCCTCTCGACTCTCTACCCCCTCCTCGCTCCCTCCCTTCCCTCCCCTCACCCTGACCATTTCCCCCCTTCTCGGGTCCTGACCCAACTGTACAGCGCCTTGGGACGTCCTCCCGACGTGAAAGGCGCTCAATAAGTGGAATCTTGTTGTTGTAGTTGTTGTCCCAAAGCGCTTCACAGAATAGACTGTAAAATGAATTGACCGTACACGTATGGGCGAACGCGGCAGCCAATTGCGCACAGCAGTGTCCCACAGACAGTCGCGGATTGAAAATGACCAATTTATTATTGTTTTTTGGTTTGTTTGGGGAGGGATTACTATTAGGCGCGTGGAGTATGGAAACTTGCCCAAGGTTTGGCCCTGTCTGGAACTGAACTCAGGTCTCTCGCTTGAGGGAACAGTATTTTTTGTTTTGGGGTGAAGGAGGAGGGAGGGGGGGAGGGGGAGGAGGGGGGGGAGGGGGGAGAGAGAGAGAGAAAAGTCAGCACGTTGACGAAAACGCGCGGCACGCGATGAGACTGCGAATCCATTCGGGGTCCGGGCTGCCGCACGTAATAAATGTGGGCTTCGGAATCCCAAAGCGCAAAATGACAAACGGCCATTAAACCCCCCCCCCCCGACCCCCCCTCTTTCCTTCCTTCCTTCCCTCCCTCCCTCCCTCCGTCCTTCCTCGGTGACTGGGCAGGTGCTGCTCCCCTCTCTCTCTCTCTCTCTCTGTCTCTGTCTCTCTCCCCCCACCACTCGCTTTGCCTTTTCTTTATTGCCCAAAGCCTTTGCATCAGTCAAGTCAGTCAGTCACAATGTGCTCGAGCTGCTGTCAGGCGCACGCGGCGGCGGCGCCTCGTATAGACGCTCACCGCAACACCCCCTGTCCCCCCCCCACCCCCCCACCCCCCGCCCGCCCCACAAGCCCTCAGCGCCAAGGTGTCGGCTCGGCTTTTCCCTCGGCCAGAACACCACCAGCACCACCACACGCTGCAGCCGCCGCCGCCCCCCCTTCACGTCCTTAAGAGTCAACAGCCGCTCTCCTGGATACCGGAGACCGAGAAGGAGACAGACAGACACAGAGAGAGAGAGAGAGAGAGAGAGTGGCGGCGGTGGCGGCGGATCAGTCGACCTCAAGGCCCCGGTTACAATTCACCTCAAAAGGGGGAGCGACAGGTAACGCGGCACCGGTGAACCTCTCCCCCCACACCCCCCACCTCAAGGAATTCTTATTTATCGCGGTCGCCATGACACCCTCATCTCCCTCCCCCCCCCCCCCCTCCTTGTGGCTCAGCTCACTCACCACCACGCAGTCGGACACGTTCGCCATGTCTCCTCCGGGCCTCGGGGCTCGACGGAAAAAAAAATATAACGCGGCGACGCTGGGAAGGGGACACGCTCCTCGGTCTCTCGCTCCCGCCACTCACACCCCCTCTCTCTCTCTACCCCCCCCCCCCACCACCCAACACCCGCCTCCTTCCCTCACTCCTCACCGCCCCTCCCCTCCCCTCCCCCCCCACGACTTGTCCACCGCACGCCGGGCACCAATCACAGCGCGACAACCCATCCTGAGTCACGCCCTGCCCCACCCAAACAGCCAATCGCAGCCCCCGGGTGCCGACTCCGCCCACCACCACCACATGGCGTGGCCACGCCCTCCCATCAATCAAACTCCCCCCTCCCCCCCCCCCCGTCCTCTCCTCCCCGCCCCCTTTCCTCCGCGCGCGGCGAGCGGACAAGGTGATGCTGCGCTGCGGGGGGCGGGGCTGGGGGCGGGGCTGGGGAAATTTGTGAATGAACTGGTGTGGGAAAACGTATACATTTCTACGAGCGTTTCTGCTGACTAACGTGGGTTCGCCAGTCAGCACACCCCCCCCCCCCCCCCCCCCCCCCACCACCCCCACACCCCCGAGCTCTGTCCGCGCGGGGTTTATCAATACTTAAGCGGAAACAGATCGATAACCATCGAGATCCATAAGATCCGCCATGTGATTTAAGACTTTTAAAACCACCCCAATTTTTTTTTATTTTTAAAAAAAATCTTTCCTCATCAAATTTTCGAATGAACATGTTCTTTATAGCCAATATTCCTGAAAGTTAAAACAGTCAGTAAGTGTCTCTTTCGGGCAAAATAATTCATTTATTGGTTTTTTTAAAAAATATCTTGTGAGTTATTTGTAGAAACTGTTTACAATTCAGTGAAAATGTTGCTTTCTTAACCAGCAGATATAAACTTTCGCCAATCACAATCGACTGGATAAATGTTGGCACATTTAGCCTTTCATTTAACTTAACACATTCATATACTGCACTATAATGGTAGGATTGAAGTGTGCTTTATGATCTTTCAAAGATGATATTCTCATTTGTAGAATACATTTAGGCCAGTAATGCTCATTGAGTCTTCTAATTACATTCTACTCTCATACCCCTCCTCTTCATTGTGAGCTGCAGCGCAACCAAAATTTAAACATGAACACAGGGGAAAATAAAAGGTTTGAATACGGTGTGTATGAAAATTGGCATTAATGCACTGGGCCATCAAGGAAGCCCCTGTTCAATTTAAACAGAAAGTATTACATTGTCCAATCATATACACTATTGCAAACTTTAAATTAAATTACCTTTTTTATTTATCGAAATTCTACTTCCGTGATGTATTTCAGCTATACTGTAACCCAGAGCAGATTTTTGGCAAAAGGTCATTGGTCTGAAGTAAACGCCACTTAATTTAACAAGCAAACTAGGTACTTTTAGATCTAAGGCAGATATACTTTTATTTAAAACATTCAAATGACTAAATGATCCAAGTAGAAACTAAGGCCATGACAGCACAATGTAGCAAGTATTAAATACATAAAGATGAAACAAAACATGGGAATGTGATCATTTATTTTGCTGGCATTAAGTACCATGAAGTCAATTGTGTATTTCCACATGGTTTCAAAGCTGCAATACTTTACAGCAAAAACAATTTAGATTTTCAGTCCTCAAATTCCATCAATGCATGCAAGCAAAATCACTACTGGTTAAAATGCTTAGTGCACGGAAATTCTTATAAACGTTTCCGACTCTCCTTAAATAATCTACAGCAAATACTGTAGATGCTTCTCAGCATTTTCTGTGGAAATACAGAGGTAATCCATTTACCAAAATAAACTGACTTTTCACAAAACCTCAAGCATAAATTCAGAGATAGTCTTTTATAAAAACATAGGATTGGTTTGTCGAGGTCAGGTCTCACACAGTATAAAGATTAAATCCAATATTTATACTCACATGTGTAAAAACAGTTTCTTATTAAGTACAGCACTCCAGCCTGAAACCAATGATACACTGTAGTTGTAGGGAAGTTACTCCAAAGCCATTCTTCAGCACAAAAATGGTTAACTGTGTTGTCTGGTGTCAAACCTGCTGTGGTGGTTTCAGGAATGGATTGGACCAATACTCTGCAGTGACAGGTGACATTCATAAGCACTGATACAACAATGTCCATGTAGATTTGTTCCTTTCCAATTTAGATCTCACCGTTTTCGCTCCCCCCCCCCACCCCAAAAAATAAACCTAGTAAGACTTCAATAATCAGGATGGCACTTATCACCAATATGGTTTTAGAAATGAGTAATGTTGAACCAGAGGCCTAAGTATTTCAGATGTTTTCCTATGATTAAAGGCTAGGAAATCTTTGGCCTTCAGGGCAATGAAAATATTTATTGTCATTTTAATTGTAATAAATCTATGCAGCAATTGCAGGGAAATTGTTTCTGTTCAACTGGTCTGGAAAGTTACCATATTCCAGACATTCAACCAAGCAATTGCTAAATAATTGGTAAATGATTGCCCCCTCCCCCTAAAAGGAATGACTCAATTACATCAGAGAATTTGACCGCTACATAAAAAACACCTCCTTATATATTTAAGGCACTTACAATACGTCCATTAAATATAAAGCTTGGATTTGTAGCAAAAAAAAGACCAAGGAAAGCTATTTATTACTGTAAAATGTTGAGCGTAAATTACAATTACTTCTGACAAAATCAGTATGTAAAGTTCCAATAAAAATGAAAGATATGGTAGAACAAATACATTCACAATATCCCCTAATACTTTATGAAATGCACTTTTTTTATACTAGTTAATTTTGCTGGAGAACAGTTACATTTTTCTAATGTATCCTGGATAGATCTAAGATCTGGGGAGTATAATTTTATGAATAAAAATCAAAGCAAGTCATACAGTGTCAGGATGTCAAGACTGCTACTTTGTGTAGGTAGAAAAATGATGCCATATCCACTACCTTACTAGGCTTGCTGTCCAAGGCGATGGGGCATGACACAAATAAAGCAGCATAATAGATGGTGCTACAAGGCTGAAAACCATGTCATGAAGTGGAAATTTGGGCCACAACAGCCACACTTGTTTACAGGTTAAATTAACTGCTTATGGGGAAGGAAGGATGCCTTACAAATTCAAAAAGTAGTTATGCTAACAGGAAATTCACATTTCCTTCAAGTCTCCATGTCACAGTTTCCAACATCCTAGTGATGCCAACTGGATACTTGTCACACGTTTGCTATTTAATACTTATGCCCTTCTGTTCTTTTCAGCAGTTCCCTTCCATTCGTCAAACATTTCAGTTGATACCGTTAACATTAGTAACACACCATGTAGCCATGCAAAGTATTGCTACAGAAACATAAATCAGCCATTGCCATGCAGGTTCCGCAATGGCTCAATCAGTAAAGCCTTTCCATACAGTAGATGTCTGGGTTATAGTCTTGAAAGAATAAAAAGGTTGATTGAGGTTAAGTCATTCTCTCCCATCCCTTCCCTCAAAAAGACTGTATATTTGAATACATTTCTCATGGATTTAATTTGGAATTCCAACTCAAGTTTCACAGAAGCACTCCATAAATATTACATAAAATAAATCATTTTTTAAACAAAGTGGGGAAAAGCCTCACTCTGAAAGTTGGTGACATGATTGCTTACCATTTCTGCATGTCAGGAAAAAGATATTAAAAGAGAATTACAAATTCTAAGGCTGCATGTCTGCATTGTTAGAGAATAGTGAATAAGCAAGTGTGATCAAAGGTTCAGATCACAGTATGAGTCACACCATTGGGTGGCAAAATCCAAAAGGAACAGCAACAATGTACAGCATCAAGCCTTGTTCACTACAGTGGGGCAGACGGGTGATGGCAAGTTTAGACTGCACCCCAGAGCCTGCAGGGCAAAACTGAGAGTTACCAACAATATGCAAAGTCCCTACTTTACACCATAAGTGCTGCCACCTACAATAAGCTTTTACATATGCCTGGAGGCAGCCCAGTGTTGTCACTGCAAATGTCCAAAATACAAGCCAATCACTCAATCGTTCAACAGAGTTGTACCATATCTTCATTCGTGGCATAAATAAGGCCAGCAAAGAAAACATCAATCCAATTTTTAAAAGGTTTTCAGTGAATTAATGATTTAAAAATACTTCATCTGATCAATTATGACAGAGCTTCAAAAGGTAGCCATGAGCATCCTTGTTTCACCTCCCCCTCCCGTAAAACTTGCATCTTCAGCAATTTTCTTTTATAGATTGTTCACCAAAAATTAGAAAGGCAATATCTGTTATACAATCTGTTATAATCAGATGCATTTTTAAACACTGTATGCAGAAGACTCACTGCATTATGCAGTATTTATGCATTTTAAAATTACAACATTGGATTTATTTTGAATACAGTGGCATTTTTGACTGAATAGTTAACAGAAAATGGAAATACAATTGTTTTTTCAACAGTGTACAACTGTTCTAGCAAAAAAAACCACAGAACAAGTCAGAAAGTAGGTGGATATTGCCTTTTCAAAGTGTTGCCTAATACAAGCAAGCTGAGTAAACTTAAAGCATTTGATAGGATGTACAGCAAATTCAGACAAGTTTATGATCCGAAATACAGAATCAGAAAACCTGTAAAAGCATGACTTGATTAAGCAAGCTACAGGGCATTATGAAAATGTGTGATGCGAGATTATATATACTTAAGCATCATAAACAATACAACTGAATAGATTTTTTTAAAAAAGTGAATACCTTGCATAACACATGATAAATGCTGGTCATTCAAACATAGAAAACAAAGAAAAAACCTGGAGTAATGTAGATCCACAGGTGACATTACTTTCTGGCCTTAAATTCTTCATGTTTTCCTTAAGGCAGCTACTTCTAACATCAAAGTTGGCGAGGCATGAATAAGAAACCAGACTATGAACAACATTTCATTCTAATTAGAAATACACTAATCCTAAACATTTTATTCTTAGGCCCTCATTCGCATGATCAGTGAAAGGCTGAATTTAAAATAAAAAAATCACTATCACTTGAAGGAAAAAAATGGAAATAATACATCTTACAAATACTGACATAGATCTAGCAGAAGTCAAAAAACTATCCCCAAACTTCCATTAAACATTGAATACATAGAATTTAGCATCAAAACCAGTTCACAATTTTCTTTTCTTATTATTGTTCTTTTTCTGAAATGAAAGCACAAAGTACCCTTGGCAACAGACTGGGACAGAATCATATGACCTATGTAGACTTCTTTTGCGTGGGGTGGGGAAATTAAATGAGCAAGGACAGTCACTCACAGATTATAGTCTTCACAGTAACGTGCACGTGAGAAAAACAGATAGCTTCCTAGTCTATTTGTGTTGTGGCTCAAATAAAAATTGGGCGAGTTTTGTGCTCCAAAAGTGAGAGACAATACTTCCAACCCAACATTACTTTTCTGCACCCAGTGTTTGCATCAAATACTCCCAATCATGTATAGTTTGGGTTTAACCCAGACAAAATCTCTCAGCTACTCAGCCAACTCATGTACCTCACTCATATACCTTGGTGGACTTTCCACTTCTTGTACTAGCTAACGTTATGGTTTCACTGAATGAGATTTCCTCAATTATTGCCTTGTGCAGTTTCATACCTTGAACTCAAACCACAGAAAACTGGGTGAAGACTGCACAACTCCCATTTCACCTGGGTCCTGTAACAATCGGCAAAATAAAAGTCTTCACCAAGTCTTTTCAGGCTTTATTTCAATCCAGATGCCAGTGGTTAACAGATCAGAGTCTAGTCACTATGTATAAGATTTTAATTTTAAGAGACTGAATTTCAATTTGAACATTCATCATTTGATGCTGACCTCATCAACAGTCTCAGAGAACGCATTGAAAATGCAGACACTGCAATGTGCAGAAAGTATTTTTTGTCCTCTCCTATTATACAAAGGAGCGCAGGCAGGTCAACATGCATCATCTAATTGTGACTTAAACTACTAATTCTTCCCTTTTATTACAGCCTTCTCAGTCAAAAGTGTTATCAAATGCTCATTATCGAGACCTTCAATCAGAAAAAACAGGTATATTTGCATTGCTATTTAAAGTGGGTATTCCTTCCTTCGTGGGTTTGAATGTTTATAGAACATAAAGATTATTTCAATGATCTTTGGATATTTTCCAGGGTTTTTATAACCCCAAAGTTAGCAGTTTGAGCACAATATACCAGCCTCTTCAAGTCCTTAGGCATTTTCTTGGCATTTCTTTTCTTCTTTATCCAAGCCTCAATATTTCTGTTCAACAGAAAGAAAAAACAAAAACAGTTGGCTCATACTGTTTACATTGCAATCTGTATGACAACCCATACAACATGCAATATTACCTCTAGGGTTTCAGGTATCCATTAAATCAGAAGGAATTTGAATGCATTTTCTATACCTCTTCTAAGACCTAATGAACAAACACAAATAATGGCTCATTTAGAATGTAGTTTTTAAAGCTAAATTGAGCTGCTAACATCAGTATGGTTAGATATGAACGCAGTCTTTTATATCCCCCTCCAAATCCTGACAGCTCCATGAATGACATCCCTACATTCTCCACCCTTTTCTTTTCCTCCCCCACCCACTAACCACCAACTTCACCCAAGCAGTTAGATAGCAAACACTAGGGAAGATATTTAACCCGAGGTGTTTCACATCTTAACAAACTACACATGTAACTTCAATCTGGAAGTCAGCGGACAGGATTTTAGGAGCAGAAATGGTGGCCAATTGTTCTTCTCTCTGGTGCAGAGAAGATCGAGATCAAATGCATCACTCCCACCACTGCCCCGGTTGAAATCAGCTAATTCAAATAACTAGAAAATAAGTTAGGTCTTTGCGGTTTTGTATCGCTCTATACAATAAGTCACCATTGGAAGTTCATAAATACCCTCTAAAGCAGTACAGTGAATGTGATGGTTCAGTCTTCTCTCAAAACAAATATACAAAATTCAATCAAGACTGTTATTGAGTTACTAATACTAGATTATGGCCTCACAAACGTTCCAATAAAAAGGCAAAACACTGCCAGTTTGTTAACATTACACTATTCTGTGGCAACTTGACACATGCACTTAAGTTGTTTATAAAGCCCACGACTTACCTTAACTGGAAATAATCTTCTCCCTTAAACTACTAGCCATACATTGCTGCTGAAATGCATGCTTAGAATATTAAGCCATTGCAATTCGACTCATTTTTATAACCGATTCATTATTCTGAGCCTCTATTTACCTCTCGGCCAGTTGTGCCAGCGCGATCAGCATCTCTTTCTCTCCCACAACGTGAAATACTTTCTCTTTCTTCGTCCTCCTCATCTCTGTCATCATTCCCACTGTGGTTTTTACAGTATAATCTGTCAAACAAAACTATACTAATAACTGTGACATACTCAATTTCATGGATAATTCTCTTGAGCAAAATCACTGAAAACCTCAGATTAGATCTTGGAATACTGTGACACAAGTCTCATTCACCATCTTAAGATCATTTCAACAAAATGGTTAGCACTGAAATTATTTATTTTAGAAATTGTTAATGAATCACAAATGTAACATTAAGCTAAAAACAGCTAAACTTGAGAAACTTTTCCATCCCCTTTCTCTTATAAAGCAAAGATGCAGATTAAAATCAAAACATTTTGAAATACAATGGAAAAGGAATTAAGGTCATTCTCATTTAAACTTAACCAAAACAAACAATATCCATTCATCATATTTTACAATTAGAAAATAAACACTTTGCAAATTCTCCTCAGTCTCAACATTTCTTCAGATACATGCAGTCAATCCCCTTTACAATATATTATGTGAAGCGCTTTGAGACATCTCAATGATGTGAAAAGGGGCTATATCAAATGGAAGTATTATTATCTTATTATATGTGCACGAACTTCAGACTTTGCAAACAGGATTCAAATGGAGAAAGACAAATCTGTAGTGTCATTTGTTCAGTTCAATACCTGTAAATTCCTCGATCAAGATTCTCAATGAATTTCGCTCTATCTTCCACCGCACAGTGGTAGTGGTAAGTCTTGATACAGGCCTTGATCTCACAACCTATGGTTGCACCTATTTGACTGCACAAAGTACATTTCTGAAATTGGACAAAAAAAAAATCTCGATTCAGAAAAAGCTTGGGGTAGTTCCAGAAAGGAGCTCAATGCCCCAGTTCTAGGATTCACATTAATCTTTTCTTCCATTCTTATTTTTACAACATGTCCAAATGTTCTCATTAAGTGGCAAACCATTTTCCTAAATATCAAGTGAGGACACTTAAAATACAGGAATCACCATTTGCTTGTAAAATAAATTCTTCATCGAGGCAAACTAAATGACTTAAGTTACTGGAGCCTAAAGTTACTGAAAAAAATAAGATCTTAGGTTTGAAAAAGATAAAATATTCAAAAGATCTTTGTTCTGTAGCGATTAGATAGGTACAAACCATTCGTTTGCCTCTCTTTATTTCTTGAATGACTGTTTTAATATCAAAGTCACCAAAATCTTCTCTCGATGAAGCTGTGAGCTGGACGGTACCGGAAGAGAACAGCTGGAGAGAAAAAACAGTTTGTTGAAATTTGCAATAAATGAATGATCTTCTGATGAACCAAAAAGGGACACACCGTTTAGTCAGCATTAAGTAACACAGACCAGAAGGTCACAGGATCAAAGTCCACCCTTTGCTTATCTGGCTGGGATCTTACAATCAATCTCAGCCTCAGCAGCACTGGGTTAGGGCTTTCTGCCTTTGTGCTGATATTGGGTGACAAGAGGATCAGATTCTAGCTCAGCTGCAATGCCAATCAATACTCACGGTCAAGATCCACATGAATGTGCCTCAATAATTAATTAAATAAATAATAATTTGGTCACTCAATGCACGACTATTTATGGGACACTGTTGTGCAATTGGCTGCCCCATTTCACCTACAAAATATACAGTCAATTCAGTTTGCAATATACTCTGTGAAGCGCTTTAAAGCCTCCAGAATATATGAAAAGCGCTATATCAAATGCAAGGATTATTCTAGAAGACACGATAAGACGCTATATCAAATGCAACCATTATTATTATTACCCAGGAACTATATCCCAGATTAGGGGAGAGGGAGAAGAGAAGGGAATTGGATTTTACTTCAGAGAGGGAAACAAAATGGGCCGAAAAAACACTGAAGTGGACCATTTTTATGTTAAAATCCACATCCATGAGCACCAGCAGGCAGTTCCACACATCAGCATCTGGAGCAGCAGCTCTGAACGCTGGTCAGGAATAGTCAGATGCAGCACAGTAGCAAGACCAGAAATAGCACAAGAGACTTAAAAAGTACGAGTGTACAGGCAAGATTCATCACGCGGATTGGAGTGCGCTGGAAAGATTGAAAGTAATCCCTCCCCTCTTTTTTGAAGCATCCTGGGACATGACTCAAAAAATATTAGATGTTCTACAAATGCAGAATAATTGCTAAATGGAAATCCTTGAGTTAGAAAGTCAGAATTTGGTTGAATATGCTAAATGTAATGGGGAGAAAACATTTAAGCCATGGAAAGCGATAATTTAAAGTCCGCCCTCTCAAAAAAATACAGCAGCAATCTGAAATACCACGGGCTTGTCTCTCCCTTACCATGCATTTATAATGTGCTGCAACTTTTTTTGGATTTGATGTGTGCAGCTTTCCTCTGGTGGCATTCTCTTCTTCTCCAGCGTGACAAAACCCACACTTGGGCCCTGTATTGGTGGGACTATTACGATGAGGAGACCGCTCCCTCTAGAAAAAGGGATACAAAAAAATGATCATTCGGAATAAGTTTCAAAAAACACAGGACAAAAAACAAATACAACAAACAACAACTTGCACTTATATAGCGCCCTCCACGAAGGGTAGCATCTCAGAGCGCATAACAGTGGTGGAACCTGACTCCAAGCCGTGGGGAGGTGGGAGGTGGCTGTAAGCATGGTTGAGGAGGAAAGTTTTTAGGCAGGACTTGAAAGAGGGGAACATATACAAGAAATCATCTGCAAGGCTATCCAAATGAAAGAGTTAAATGATGGCTTTTAACTTCGATCACATACAACTTTAGCATGTATGGATTTAAACCACGTTTTAAAACTTATTAAAACAACAAGAAACAAATTAACCCATGGATAATGGATAAGCAGCGAGAGGTACCCCCCCTTAAAAAAAGAAACTATTGATTCAACTATCTTACATAGGAGCTGCAACTCGTTTCATCCCTTCCTTGAGAGGATGTAGATGTAGCATCGTCCGATTCATCCCTAGAGTTGGGAGTTCTTCGTCTTCCTCTGTGCCCTCTGCCAGCACCTCTTCGAGGACCCGTGGAATGTTCGTTCAAGTCTTCCTGTAACCCATCTGAAACAAAGACACATCTTGGTTGACTAGTTTACTCAAGATTTAAAAATAAAAAATTAAATAAACTAAAAGCTTCAATTGGACTCGTAATCTTTGCCCTAAGATCCCGTCTCCTCCCCACCACAAGATACCAGATGCCACTCCATCAAGATGGTGGTCAATGCAACCTCTGCCAAAAGTACTCTTGTAATAAGCGACAGAGTTGAGCTCGATTATTATTCTCGATCTTTTCTTCCTCTATCAAGTGTCTGTCATCCTTCATGTAAAGATCATGAAAATAGTTTTCACTATGGTGCTGTTTAATGTTACTCACTGTATGCGCACTGGCACGCTACCCTGCATGAGGGACTCTATATCAATGCAAGTTGTTGTTGTATGGTGCTATTCAGGTCATTAGGCCTTAATACCCAGCTACTTGTATTGTAGTTTCGCGACACACATCAGTAAACTTTTGATGTTCAACAATATTGACAATAAACCAACAGTATTTTACTTCAGCAAAATAATAGAGCCCTCATTTCTCTCTTGCCCTTCCACTAATAATTAGGCACAAGAGAAATTTCACTGAGGACAGACACCACATTGACCTACATCTCACACAAACTATTTTGAAAATCAACAAACATGTGTGTCCATAAAACTATTAGTAAGAGATCAGTAATATTAAAATATTTTAGGGAAAGCTGCAAAAGTTTCAATTAAGACAATGGCTGGCCCTATTAAAAGTTGTTTCAACTTTAATTTAACATGGATATTATGTGAAAAACCTACAAAAAAATCCAACTCGTAAAAGCACAGATTTTAGTTGCCTAAAGCCTCTTTTTTTTAATCATCTCTTTAATTTTCAACTTGAATTACAAACCAGTTACCTTCACTGGAATCCTGTGCTCCTTCTTTGTGTTTCTGGCAGAGAACCCTGTCGAGGATATACAGATAAACATGACTGAATTCCTTTCCATGCCACATCAGTTAAACAATGAGAAATTAAGAGTATAGAAATACATTAGAAAGAAAACCAAGAGTAAACCATTTTATTTACAGGTATATGCCCTGTGCTGGGTCTTCTTTTATCTGAGATTTATCCAGTTTTGCACAATAATAATGGTAAGTCCTACGACACGTTTTTACATCACATCCAATAGTTGCTCCGGGGCGATGACAGTGAGAACAGCTCTGCAGAAAGAAAGAAAATACATTAGATTCTGGATCAGGCTACTACTGGCCTGCAACGGTAAAAATCAAACACAACATGTTTAAGAAGATAGATACACTACAAAGGCCAAAGGTGGCACATCACTGCAGTTAAAAAAAATATTCATGAAGAATCCCTTTCGTACCACTAGGAATTGTTTCAAGAAATGGTGAATTTGCAGATTAACCTACCTAAGAGAGGTGGCATGGTCAGATTGTAACAGCAAATTCAAGAGTGAAGAAATTAATTGAGGAGTCTATGAAACAGTAAGGTAAGATTTTTTTTGCCCTCTTTGGGACCAACCAGATGGACCAAAAATGGGGTCTTTCTGGTCTTATACTCTCTGATGTGAACATCAGAAACAAAACTAAAACAACACGAGTTTTTCCAACAAGAGTTTCAGAGATGCATGACTGAAAGTAAGTATTCTTTTAAAAACATTTTTTTAACAGTGATTAAAAACGTGTCGATCCAGGCCAGATCTAGATCATTAATAGTTTCCTTAAAATTAGCCACTTTGACTCAAATGACAGCTAATATTTTAGTTAATATTTTAGTTTAAACAGTAAGATTGAATTAATCAAGGGAAGTTAATTAGCATGGCCATTCACCAAAACAAATAAAACCCCTTCTACATACGTTTGCTACAATATGGCAAGCAACTGCAGCAGTGTCTTAGAGATTTATCAACCAGTATGTAACCTGCACACAGAAGAGGTCAAACCACCCCTTTGCCAGAAACATTTTAGGTAAATCTAAAGTAGTATTTTACAAGAACCCAAATAAAAGTATATGCATCCCATTAGATACAAGTCCCCTAAATCCACTGTTCAGTTTCACAAAACTTAAGTCACTTACCAGCTTATTTCCCCTTTTTATTTCCTTCTTGATATCTTCGACCGAGAAGCCTCCAAGAGTCTCATTCTCGGAATGAGAGGTCACAAGAGCAGACGAAAATAACTAGAACCAGCAAATAAAGAGCAGCATTAGTCTCCAGCGACGGAATCTGCACGCGGACATCATACACGCAAATTCTCATATTAGGTTCAAAACAATGAAAATTCAAGTTTAATGCTATTTAGTTAAACTGAAGCATTGAACAGGTGATTTATATAGGAACAAATTCATAATTTTTTTCCAAGTTCTCAGAATACACAGCGGACTTAAGAGTAGCAGGTGAGGGTTCCTGCCCCTTGTGACTGCAAGTGAACATGCAATAACAAAATTGGTTGCATTGACTCCCACAGTAAGATGCTCCGTTTACAGTTTATATCGCATCTTTAACGTCAGGGGGGCATGACATCATCACATCTGGGCTCGACTATGCCAACTCCCCGCTTGTCAGCCTTCCCAACTCTTCCCTCCACAAGCTGCAGATCATCAAAACTTTGCAGCTCGTGTCCTCTCCCTCAACAGGCTCTGTGACTCCAACCCTCGCCTGGCTCCACTGGCTCCCCATCCCCCAGCAGATAGAGTTCAAAATCCTCACTTCCAAAGCCCTCTATGGCCTTGCTCCCTACCTCTGCGACCTGCTGACCCCATATCAACCTGTCCGCTCCCTGGCTCAGCAGACTCTGGCCTGCTCCACATTCCCCGCCTGTCCCACTCCCTATTGAACTCCATCCCACATTCCCTTTGCCTGGCTCCCTCGTCTCTTTCAAGGCGCGTCTCAAACCCCTCCTCTACGACCGAGCCTTCGGCCACTCTCCTACCCTCCCCGATCCCTCCCCCTAGCTCGGCTCCACATCCTTGACTGACCAGAGCCTTGAGACGTCCTCCCGATGTGAAAGGCGCTATACAAATGTAATATCTCAAAGTGCTTCACACAGTTAGTTGGGTACTTGGGTGATACCAACCCCAATGAAAACATACTCCAAGATCAGTTGCCAAGTTCAGGAGAAATGCAGTAAAAAGAGAAAACGGGATGAGCAAAAACGGCTTTACTGCTGACAAAGACTCCTGAGGATGCGTGGTCAATGGTTGTTGGTTCTCTTTACTTACCATACATTTGTGATGTGCTGCCATCTTCTGGTTTTGTGCTGTTAACAACTGTCCACAATATTCCTCTTTATTTAGTTTACAAAAAGCACATTTTGGCTGTCTAGTACCCCTTTTCTTCCCCTTAGAATCAGCTGCCATCATTCAAATTCTTGTCAGCAATCAGGAATCTTATTTATCTAAAAAAAATAAACATGAATGTAAAGTCAACTGAATTGTTTCAACACATTGCTCTTGATTATATTTAGTGTTTTGGAGGCAATTAGCTGGTAAAAACAACTCAATTTTAGTAGATCTTGCACAAATTCCTGCAATCTAAAATACAAAAAAATGATGTAAAGCCTTTGTGACTAATACACCCATTATACTGCATTATACTGTGTAGAATGGAAACCTTCTACACAAATCAAACCAAAAGCATTTTTCAAACTTTTAGACCAGACAACTGTTCTACATTGGGGATTGTCAATCCCTATTAAATCAATCAGAAAATGCACCAAAATAAACATCAGCATTAAGGTAATTGAACAACTGGCAGCCTCACCTCTCAGATGCACATCAAGCAGCGAGAGATGTTGAAAAAAAACTTCCTTCATTGTTAGTTTCCTACTTACCCACAATATTGCCACTAGCCCCACAGTTTCAACACCGAATTTTACAGTGAAATAAACACTGCCTTTAACATCAGAACTGAAGTCATGAACTTAAAATTTTATGAGAATGGAATTTAAACAACTGTTTTATTATTATTATTGAGGGTCCTGAAAGCAGCATCGATCTAATGAACTCAACAGCAACATAAAAGGCTGACAAATTTATGGCACAAAATTGGTATGTCACTCGGCCACTGGATGAGACTTGGAAATAGCGGTCTAATTGGTGAAGTAGGATGATGTTTGTTTGTGTGTGTTTAGAACAAAAAAAATCTCTTCTTGGATGTCGTACAGCAATAAAAAGTGTAAGAAAGAACAGTGGCATATCTGATCAATAATATTCCTGACGTTGGTAGTTGCACTTTCTATACCGCTAAACTCTGGAACATTTTTCCTCTATCCCTCCGCCTTGCCCCTTCCTTCCCCACCTTCAGGTCACATCTGAAGACCTTCCTATTCGACAGTGCCTATGGTCACCCCCCCCCCCCCCCCCCCCCGGCTCAGCGTCGTGTTCCACCACTAGCAAGTGTTCTGGAATCTACCCTGCGTGAGGGACGCTATATAAATGCAAGTTGTTATTATTGATATAGCTACCTGTAACAATGCTGGAAAATTTTGCCTGCTCATCTTCCCGTAGATGGAACAAATGATTTGACCCAAGTTGTGGCCATATCTGGCTTCAATTGAATTCCAATCAATTAGACATACTGGTGTTGGCTTTTAAAAGAAATCTCCTACAGTGAATTCCTGATAACATGTCACTCCATGGGAAAGGGCTATCCAGAGTTATACAGAGTGGAGAGTTAGGCAGATGTACAAATACATAAATAAATGCGTCTATGATATTGATAGCATGATGCCTTAAGTGATAATAACAAGTTAAGATGGGTTGAGTTATCAGGAGTTTACTGTATTAAGTTAAAAAAAAGTTTCCAGCTTTTTTTTTTGTATTTCGCATTTCCTCAAACCAATCAATGAAAATGTTAAATTCCAGACAATATTGGTTACAATTTGCTGTTAGCTCAGTGAGAACGCGCTGGTCTGGCAGAAACAGAGCGTTGTCTCGACACTCCAGGTACTACAGGATGAAAAAGAAAAGAAAAACAAACTATTGTAATCTTATAATCAAGTCAATTTGTGATCCCGTTAAACTTGCATGTGAACATTGGGCTGGATTCAAGCCCCCAGAGTCCTAGTCACATAAGTAAAGGGAGAGTCCCACTGCATCACCCAGATTCACCAACACAGTCCAATATCTTCCCCCTCTCCCGAAGGCACTGATTTTCAAAGAAAGACTGAATGTACCAAAATGCACAGTGGAGCAGATAATGCGAAGAACAATGAAACTCTGCATTGATATTTGAACCTTGTATTAAGGAAGTACTCATCACATTGAGACCTTCTCCCACTGAGCTTTGCTATCCAGAAAAAAATACCCAGAAACCAATAATTTAATTGAATGGAACGGCTGGCTTGCAATCATGAAACTCCTCCATTGTTCACAGAAGAAGCAGCAGTTATAGTGCACATTCTCATAAATGTCATTTCAGAACTATTCCTTCTGGTTAAGTAACTGGAAACAAAGTATACAATTGGGTTCAGGTTAGATTCTCAATCCGGTGCGTGCAACACCTTGAGAGATGTTGTTTATGCCAATTCCTAGTGCAGTAACATGAAACTGCAAACAAAGCCAAGTGGGTGTGTTAGTACAGCTGCTCTGATCAAAACCCTGTACCTAACAAAAAAAATGCACATTGCATAGACATCCATAAAGCAAGGCGTTTTGCACCACGTATAGAATTCCATATTCATTTGAAAAAAAATTAGCACTTTTAATATTTTTTCTGTACTTTGTACAGTTCAAACATTAACACTGGCATCCGCGTATCAATTTCTGAGAGGACACTGTATTCACATAATCATGGATGGAAACCTTCAACCAGACTGGACTTCATTTATAACCAATTTCTTCTAATTAAATATATTCACCTCATTACTAGTGAAAAGCCTCATGTGAAACAGAAGGATTAGTTGCTTCTAGGTAACAAATAGCTTGTACCAAGAGTTACAAGACGTGTAGAATATTCAGAATTCAAACACCCCAACAGTTTTGGACTTAACCAGAAATCTAAGCTTTTCCGAAAACCTAGAGAGTGCAGTACTGAGCCACACACACCGGAGAGTTGTAAGTTCAAATCCTGATCTGTGCTGGTCTACCTGATACCCTAAACAAATAATAGGATAAATGAGTCAAAAGCCTTGAGAAAAAGAAGCCGATTATGCATTTTCCTTGCTCAGATGAGTTATGTACTGTTATACTACTAACTTCAGGATCACAATACACATCAATTGTGTTTTGAAAGGTACCGTAACGAATCCCTCCCCTCAAAACCTCTCTTCTTGGGTCTCCCATTCCCAAATCTTTTGTTCATCTTGCACCTGTATTAAGAATAGTCAAATCCTATTTCACACAAACCCTTTGAACTGTGGAGAAAAGAAGATTTGTTTCATCGGAGTTGCATAAACCAAATCATGTCTCCAACCAAGTCCACTGCAGTCATTTTAATCATGTGTAAAATGTATGCAGCATTGTGTAAAGGTGAATTAACTGTTCATTATTTGATAGAAAACAGAAATAGAAATTCACACCCAATTAATTGCAGGCTACTGGATAAATTCTCCACTTCATGCTACTTATTACAAAATTGAATTAAATCAGAGGTCACTTTCGATTGTACTCGAATGAGGAGGTCAGAAAATACACATGGGATGATTCCAGTCAGGCTATACAGTAGTATTATCTTCCTCCACATCACTATCTATTTTTGACCATTTATGCTTCCCATTATATTCCTGAGCTTGACGTTTATGTAGAACATAAAACACATCACTGTCAAAACTTACACTTGCATAATTTACTACTGCAACACATCATATAATAATATATAATACGTACAATTGATATATGTCATTGAGACATCTCAAAACACTTCACAGAATATATTGTAAAGTGGATTAACAGTGTATTTTGTGGGTGAAATGCTCATCATACCTGTAGATTTTCACCTATTATATTACTTTACTATACTGCCCCTGTCTGCAGATCAGTACAAATGGGGAGATGTACTGTCATATAAACTGCATCACTGAATCACTGAGATTTAGAAGCGGCATACAGCTTCATGTTTGTTTGCAAACAGCCTTCTTCGACCGCTATCAGTTTTCCATAATATGAAAAAAAATTGAAGTTAACTCTTCAAATTGAATAGCAGTACACAGATTCCTGGGTTGTTTTACAACTTACGTAAAAGTCCAATATAATTGGCTTTGCTGTCTATGTTGGGCCAGGAAGGGAGCCAACGTCAGCCAATATTAGTTACTAGTAACCACCCTGTTTTGTGGATGTCAAGCAAGAAAAAGAATGAGATTAGCTTCCCTTCACAGTCAAACTGCATGCTGGCCACTCACCTGCTTAAGGTCTTGAATGAAGAACCAATGGACTGCTAAGCCTGAAGAAGAAAAACAAAGGAATCACAAATTAAACAACTCTTTTTATAAGCAACCTGTCAAAAATCGTGACCTTTGCAACACCTCGCTAACACCTGAAGTTTGTGTGCCATTACCGCCTCTCAAACGTTTCAGTCCCTCAACGATAATCGATAACATAAAGCAAAAAGTCGAATTCTTAAATCTTTTCCGATCGATAGATGAATAATTGTAGAGGCAATCACACTAAATACAACCATGTAAAACACACATGTGTTGTGTAAAACCAGCCTTGGAATATTCGGTTAACTTGAACATATCTTCCAGCTGAGGGCAAGTAGACAGCCAAAGCTTCCTAATGTTATTATGTAACTCTGTGTTAAAAGATGCAGAAGGACTCACTGGGTTGACTCATGATCAGAATTTTCTTCCTTCCAATGCATCACCCGAATTGAAGGAAGTCAATTCATTTGAGTTAAATAATAACACAAAAAGCACAAATTGTTCTTCGTAGCTTATTCTTTATTTAAATTAAATACACAAAGCTATTGTTGCGGATGTTTACAGCCTTTATTTTTTTCCTGTCCATAACAGTTTACCATCGTGCATTTAAAAAGGTTTACGTGAGGAAGGGTTTTAAGTTTTACAACAAGTCGGTTTGAATATTTTTTTTTGGTGGGGGGGGGGAAAAAAACAAAACACCTTTGCTGGAAAAAATACTGAAACACCAGATGAGAGCCCAACTCGCTCTGGACTTCATGAAAGATAATAAAGACTGACCACTACTCTTTCGAAAAAAAAGGGATACGATACACAGTAAAACCCATCTGCACAGAAACAGATGGAATTGACCCTCAAAGACAGTCAGTAACAAGTAAAACGTTTGCTTTTCCTTTCCCAAAAGTAGGCCTGCAAATTTTTTTTAACCCCCCCCCCCCAAAAAAAAATGAAAGCGATCATGCTCACAGCGATAAAAATGGATGGCAAACATGCTATTTTTTTTTGCACACCCCCCCACCCCACCACCACCACCACCCCCCGGGAAGGCAGAGGCTGTGGATTCAATGTGCTGAACGGTCCATGTTGCACTTTGGGCCACAACAAGAGAACAATCGCCGGAGCCGCGCACACACTGCGGACTGAACGACGAGGAAGGAATCCGAGCGATTTCCGCAAAAAGTCAGTCCTCGTCCTTTCCCTCCTTCCCTCCCTCCTCTCTCTCTCTCTCTCTCAACCCCCTCCACCACCCCCTTTTCCTCCCTCCCTCTCTCTCTCTCTCTCTCTCTCGCGCGCGCGTCCTCCATCCGCACACACACACACACAGTGTGCAAGCACCGCAATGGGCAGTGGTGGTGGAGGGAGGGAGGGAGGGAGGGAGGGAGGATGAGGGCGTTGAGGACGCTGCAAGAGGCTGTGACACTTTAAATGGGAGTAAAGCGGGAGCTTCCCCCGCTGTTAAGGGATCGAGCCACACAGAGAGAGGCACTTACTTACCCGCCCGCTGGAGCCTGTGCACAGACAGAGACAGACAGACAGACAGACAGGAGGGGGGGAAGAGCGCTGCAGCGGCCGCGACTCAGACTCGCACTCTCTCTCTCTCTCCTCTCTCTCTCCCCCTTCCCCCCCCCACACCCCCCACCACCACCACCAACGCCGCCAACACCTCCCCGTCTCCGAACGCCGCGCGTCACCACGTTCCAACGGGACGGGTGGCAACAAATCGCGGCGTTCCACCCGCCACCGCGCAGCCGCCGCCGCCGCCCTCCCATTGGCTGCTCCTCGCGTCGCTCACCGCCCCGCTCCCGCACCCGGGCCCCGCCCACCCGCTGATCCCTTTGCTGTCACGTCACTCACCGCCCCGCCCCCTCCTCCCCCCCCCTCCTCCCTCTGGGGATCCTTTGGCTGTGCGTTTGGGCACAAGTTTTCGAGGAGACTCTTAACCTTCTGGGATCGGCACTGTGTGAGTGTTGAGTAAAACGCATCGCTCTGATTTTTTTTGTGTGTGTGTGTGTCGTATGTTGAGGGAGGGAGGGAGGGAGGTCAGTGGGTGGGGGTGGGTGTCTGTGCAATAACACCACAATAACATCCTGATCGTGTTGTCTTGTGTAGCTGCTGAGATTTGCTATAACTCGTTGCCAACCAGAGAGAGAGAGAGGGGGTGTGGGGGGGTAAGTGTGTCCTGGTATCCAGTGTCGTTGGTTGACTCGTCTGTGTGGCAGTGAGTGAGTGAGTGAGTGAGTGGGTGAGTGAGTGACTGGTGGTGGTGGAGGGCTGCGGCCAATGTCAAGCTCAAGGCAACAGTGTTGCTAACCTGCAGCCGGTGTATCAGTATTGTGTAAACCTGTGTGGGAAATGGGAATTATTATTATTATTTTTTGGGGTGGTGGGGGCGGTGGTGGGGGCGGTGGGGGGGGGGGGTTTGGTTTGCTTTGCCCATGTCGAGACGTTCCAAGTGCAACTGTTCCGGTTGAGAGCGTGAAGTCTCTCGACCCGAACGGAATGAATCGAATTCGATTGAATTGAATTAATTCCGAGGTTGAAATGAGTTGAGAGAAGAGCCTCACTCACAGTTGGGGCTGCGCGATAGGTGGCGCTACAGTCGGCCTGGATGGGGTGGGGTGGGGGGTAAGATCAGGCCGGGTTCCCTGTCTTGGTGTCCAGTCACCCCCCACACCCCCCCCCCCACCCCTCTGGGAAAATTGTGCATTTATGTGGATGTTGTGGGATGTGGTTTCGATGCCGATCTTCTCACGTTTGAGAAGAGACACTTGGGTGAGGCATCGCAGTGCTGTCCCGAGGCTGGTGGTGTAATTACTGCCTGAGTCAGAGAGAGAGAGAGGGGGGGGACAGGGAAACTGCAACCCTGCTGTCTGACTGGAGAATAATGTCGTTTCACATCCAAAGTCCACCAGGTGGAGCACTGGGTAAATAATACAGAACCACTGCCTTCGTGAGAAAATGGCTTTTTGCAAAAAGCTTTTTTTAATACATAATAATAATAATAATAATAATAATCCTTGCATTTGATATAGCGCTTTTCACGTCAGGAGGACGTCCCAAAGCGCTTCACAGAACACACTGTAAAGTGAATTGACTGTATATAGAGAAAACGTGACCCCCCCCCCCCCCCCCCCGGTGCTGCTTACATTATGCATTGGATGGAATGGGTCAGAAATCTCATGATGTGTCCGTAAGGATGGCCTGAATTCCAGAGGCAATGGACTTAAGCTCTCGTCTGCCCGGACTGCAAACAAGGCTGAGATTCAAGCTATTTCTGTCGGCTCTGAGAGGTTATTTCTATAAATAGCTCCGAGTGTGGTGAAAACGAAGCTAATTTTAGGGTCTGCATTTTATTTTAATCTTTATTTTAATACAATGCAAATTATTATTGCGTAGGACCGTTCATTGTTGGAGCATATTGGAAAATTAATATCAAAATATGGGTGGGTGGGAAGACAGAAAACAGGGGATAGAATCATTCTGTTGTGTTGTGTTGTGCTTTCAATTCTGTTTACAAGAACAGTGTTTGCTTTGTTTCTCCAGGTGAGGAATCCAGCAAGAGAAGATCCAATATTAATCATGCCGCTTCATTTCAAATCTCACAAAAGTCCTGCAGAAATTGTGAGGAATGTGAAGGAGAACATGGCTGGTCTAGAAAAACAAGAAACTTCAGAGAATAAGAAGAAGGAAAGGGTAGGCAGTAATATATTTGCTAAGTCAATTTGATGACTTTGAGGGTGTTATTTAAATTCATAATTAGGCCATAGTGGCAAATTTGCTCCCTGTAAGCTTGGCTAAGCAGCAAACTTGGCTCTGCAGTTCCAGTTTTTAAACATCTTTTCTTATTTTTTTATATATGTCTCATCAGAGAAATGATCTATATATTATGTAAAAAAAAATTACTGTTTCCTCCTACTCTCTGCTTTGCCCCCTTCATTCTATTTTGCTCTCGTGAATTGCGGTGATTGTTCTCCACAAATGCAGTTGAGGACCTTTCTCCTCTTCAATCCATTATCAAAGGCTGGACTGAGGTATCAGGTCCAGAGGTGAAAGTGCAGTGTACTGAACCACTGTGCCACCCATCCCTTATTTGTATTCAGTAAGAGCATTGCTCTTTTTCCTTTTATATTCTTCTGATCTGAATCCTCTGCACTTTCTCGTTAATATACTGTCACTTTATCTTCACTTAGTAATTCTTGATTTGTTGTGTTTTGCCTGTCATTTCTTTTCTGTCTGATCATGCTCTGTGATTTAAATGTATTTCTCAGCCTATAGTTTTTTTCTATATGACCAGTGTTGTTTCTACACATGACTGTATTCTTTATTTTAAAAAGGAAGATAAAGAACTTGCCTAGCACATAGAACTTGTGCCTTATCATAGCAAAACATTGAGAAGCACTTCCTAACTAATTAATAATAATAATAATAATAATCCTTGCATTTGATATAGCGCTTTTCACGTCGGGAGGACGTCCCAAAGCGCTTCACGGAACACATTGTAAAGTGAATTGACTGTATATTTGTGGGTGAACGCGGCAGCCAATTGCCCACAAACAGTCGTAGATTGAAAATGACCTATTTATTATTGTTTTTGGTTTTGGAGAGATTATTATTAGGCGCGTGGAGTAAGGAAACTTGCCCAAGGTTTCGCCCCGCCTGGAATATTTATTAAGTATAGTGAATGCAAATTATATTGATAACCACCAAAATAAATGTGCAAATAATGCAAAATATGGGGAACAAACTAAAGCAAACATTCAAGCCATATAATATACAATGCATGAAATCTACAATATGGTTTGCTTTTAATTTCAGACCATAAGAAATAATGTTTTAAAAGAATTGCTATAACAAGCATTTTCCCAACAATCTTTCTTGTTAATTGGATACAATAATAATAATAATCCTTTCATTTGATATAAAACCCTTTTAATGTCTTCTAGACGTCTCATATTGCTTCACAGAATATACCATAAAGTGAATTGACTATATTTTATGGGCGATATAATCCTCATTTTGTTCTTTTTCTATTGTATCCGCTTTCTTTCCTTCTATTTTCATTCCGTTCTCTCTTCTTTCAAGTTGTTCTGAATATCGCTATCTTCCTTGGGATGAGTCTGTAACTCCCGCAGTTGTAAGTCTTTATCTTTCATTTTTTATTACTTGATGAATGTAATAAGTTAAATGATCTGTTTATTTTACTAACACAGCTTTCTGGTGCATCAGATATTGTTCACTTCCACTAGTAATTTCCAGTAAGCTTTGGCTGCATATTTGAAAATGAATAGAGTATAATTCTAGGTAGAATAATCCTGCTTATTAGGAAACTAAATGGAATTTATATTGTTTTATTTAGGGCACAGAAGTGTCAAAAGGCTTGATATCTATGAAGGAGATTCTGTGTGGCACAAATGAAAAGGTGGCGCAAACAGAATCGGTGGTCCAACTGGCTCAAGAGCTTTACGACTCCAACCTGCTGGCCATTTTGATAGCAAACCTTCGCCTAATAGATTTTGAGGTACAGTGAAGAGAAAACAAATGGTTAGATAATTAGTTCTGATTTATAGAAGACTATATTGTTAAATGTAATGTTTTTTAAAATTTAAAATGCATGTGTGCCTTCTTTATACTGTATTTTGAATACTTTCTAAAGTAAATTAAGAATTAAACTTTTTAAATAAATTTGGTCTTTCACTTCATGGCTGTTTGTGGGACATTGCTTTGCACAAATTGGTTGCTGAGTTTGCTCACAAATACACAGTCACTCCACTTCCCAGTAAATCCTGTGAAGCTGGGATGTCCCTCCAATGTGAAAGGCAGTATACCAAATATAAGGATTATTATTTTGTTGTTGTTTTTCCGACTTTAGGGTAAGAAGGATGTAGTACAAATCTTCAACAATATGCTTCGTAGACAAATTGGTTCAAGGTTTCCAACGGTGGAATACATATCCTCACACAAGCAGATCATTTTCATGTTGCTGAAAGGGTGAGGATAATGAGATTCAGCAATTCATCAATCCTTCCTGTACATATTTTTTATTGTGCTGTATCTCCTTGAATCTATATCTGTATCAACTGGACATTCATGTCAGATTTTTTTCTCCGTAATTTGGCATAGAACATCAATTTTTGCACTATTGGCATGGCTCCTCAATAGTTACATTCTATTCTAGACAATGAGTTAGTTACCTCTTAGTCACCTACTCTGTGTACACTGAATAAGTGATTGTTTGGCCTTATTTTAGATTAAATAAACGTGTTCATTGTAAACAATTAGAAATCAAAGCATGAATGGTTACCCACATGTTTGATCCTCTGGCATTTGCTTGTGCGTTGTTTTTGCTTCTCCAGTCATAAATTCATCGTTCGATATGATCACAAAGACTACAGTACTCTTTATCAAAGAGAATTTGGTTACATTTTCCACTTCTTTGCATCCTGAAGTTTTGTGGCAAGTCATCCTTTGTAGTATTTTTGCAGCATTTGAAGTTCCCCTCCCTTGCCTCCTTCAAAACCCACCCCAAGACCCTCCTTTTCAACCGTGCTTTCGATCACACTGCTTCCTCCCGCCACCCTCCCCGATCCCGATCCCTAACTTGGGTCCGAAACTCTGACTATTCAGCGCCTTGGGACGTCCTCCCGATGTGAAAGGCGCTATACAAACGTAATTTTGTTGTTGTTGATCTTGGTGCATGTGTATAGCTAAATGTAAATTGCAGGCAGTCACATACAGTATCTGAATTGACTGAAATTACCTAGCAGTAATTATCTGACAGTGCTACTTCTGCTATTGTTCCAAAGTAAATCTGGAATTAAAGAATTATTGAAACTGTTGAATAAGCTTAAAAAAAATTATCAATAATTAAATGTAATTGTTTTCTTGGAATAGATATGAGACACCAGAAATTGCACTAAATTGTGGCATTATGTTGCGAGAATGCATTCGCCACGAGCCTTTGGCCAATTTAATCCTCTACTCAGAACAATTCTATGATTTCTTCAAATATGTACAACTGTCCACTTTTGACATATCCTCAGATGCCTTTGCTTCATTTAAGGTAAAATGTTCTTCAGTATCACCTTTGTAGATTGCTCTATTGTTTCATTTGTGGAATCCTATAGCTCAGTGGTTAGAGCACTCGCTTCACAAGCAAGAGACCTGGGTTCGATTCCTGGCGGGGCAAAATGTTGGGCAAGTTTCCTAATCCACACGCCTCTGTTTACCTAGCAGTAAGTGGGAACCCGGTTGTTAGTCGATTGGCGGATCGCTTTTCCGGGGGTAATAATCCCTTCACAACAAAATAATAATAATTGATCACTTAAATCCACAACTGTTTGTAGGACACTGCTGTGCGCAATTGGCTGTCGCATTTTGCCCACAAAATATACAGTCAATTCACTTTACAATATATTCTGTGAAGAGCTTTGAGACGTCTCGAAGACACGATAAGGCGTTACATCAAATGCAAGATTATTATTATTTACTTTTCACGTTTTCAGGATTTGCTCACCACGCACAAAACTGGTTGTGCAGAATTTTTAGACAAGAATTATGATATAGTAAGTTTATTTCATATTCATGTTTTGTTTGTATTAAAGATTAAGTCATGCTCTAATATTTAAAATGTATTGAATGTGCACATTTTGTTTTTTATAGATATTTGTTGAATATGAAAAGTTGCTGTTGACAGAAAATTATGTGACAAAGCGTCAGTCTCTTAAGGTTTGTTAAAATGCATTAACTTAAAGGTGCATTTTTGATATTGACATTGAAAAGGCATCTGCCATCTTGAGCATTGTGAAATAATGGATATTTATTTTTAAAATCCTGCATCATATGCATGGAATAAAAATTACATTTGTATTTTAAAACTAAAGTCACTTTATGCATATTTAGCATTGCCATTTGTTGAAAGTGATTTCATTCTTCTATTTATAAAGCTCTTGGGAGAGTTGATGCTGGATAGACATAATTTCAACGTAATGATCAAATACATCAGCAAGCCAGAACATCTGAAACTCATGATGAATTTGCTGAAAGATGAAAGCCGGAATATCCAATTTGAGGCCTTTCACGTGTTCAAGGTAGAGTGTAAAATTTCAACCTAATCCATCATTGACTTGATAAAATCTTAAGATTGTTCTGATGAAGAAGGCTCTTTGGCCCATTTGATATCATCTTTCCAAAATACACAATGCCATTGGCTTTTCAATTTTTCTACGTTTGAGAACTCAGACCCCCACTAAAAAAAACATTTGAAAGAGGACTCTTTCCCCCGTCTTCCCTCCCTCCCTTTGTTGTTCAGCCTGTTTCTCAGTGAGTATTTGAGCTATATAGACTGGAAAAGTCCTGGCTTTAATTTCTGATCTGTGCTGTTCGATTATCTTAGCCAATGCAACAGCTGTACTAAAATTGGTCTCAGTATCTGCGAGGAGTCTGAGAGCTAATTATCGTACTCTCGGGCTACAGTTGAGAGCATGCTATAACTATTGGAAATAGCTGTTCTAATGGAAATAGCTGTTCTAATGGAAACTGGTTATTTATCTGACTAACTTTTACTTTTCTACCTATTGCTATGTGTTGCAAATGGGTGTATTGTGGAATTTTGCAGGTAGCATCTTTCAGATAAAAAGATCTTCTATTAAGATATCATGACAGGGTGATTGTACATAATTTGGAAGGATATGTTTAATTGAAAGTCACTTTCAATGATTTATGTTGAATTTATTTATTCATTTATTGAATTTTTTTTTCTGACAGATTTTTGTGGCAAATTCTAAAAAACCTCAACCAATTTTGGATATCCTATTGAAGAATCAAAGTAAATTGATTGATTTCCTGAATACATTTCAGACTGATCGAGCAGATGACGACCAGTTCCGTGATGAAAAGACGTACCTGATCAAGCACATACGAGATTTAAAAAGACCAGAACCAACAGAGACTTAACGTTTGTTTGAACCTGAAAATGCTGTAAATGCTGTACTATCATGATTGAATCTAATGAAACCAGAAGTGCATAAAACTGATCCTTGTATCTTTATAATTTTGCAGTAGTTGGTACTAAAGTGATAAATCCTAATTTCACAATTTTGTGTTGGTGAATTGTAGTTTTGATACAGTGTATTTGTTTTCAGCAATTTTTCTGTAGCATCAGAACAGTCACGTATTTATTCAGGCTTTAATTTGCATAATCTGAAACACTTTTATTTGTTTATTCAGCTCCACAACCAATGTAAAATGATGATTACTTTTGTATTTGTAACATTGTTACTCTGGTAAAGGGAAATCTTCAATTGTGTACATACTTTAAATTGTTTATTATGTAATAGTAGTTTGATAAACAATCCATTAAGAATCACAAAATAACAGAAATTTAACTGAAATCTATTTTGGTGGATGTTAAAAATGTTTCATTTGGGAAAGACCAGTCTCAGGACTTCAGTTGCGAAATACAAATAAAAGTAAATAATCTTTTCTTTAGAATTTGTGGACTTAACAAACATTGTGATCTACATTTTTTAAAATGTATTTGAGACTTCCAATTATAGACTGTTATTGCGCTGAATGCCAGCTCCAATTCTTTTCCCACAGAAACTTATGTTTGAATATTCAGTAACACTAACTGTAAATAGTTCAAGTATTTTCACCTTTCATTGCATTTTATCTAAAGATTTGCCCACAGGATCATTGCAATCTCATGTGTATCCATAGTTAACGCATGACATTAGAAATGGTCCGGATATTTATAATAGTGAAACCATCTCCAAGTTAGATGTGTTTCTCTGTGAAATTGCTATAAAATCAAGGCATCAAATCATTTCTTTTGCAGCATTAATAACAATTACATATGAACTAATTATTTCTTAATCAATTTTGCTTTTGAACCAAAAACAAGTCATCGATCAATTTAACTTCTACAGGAATTGTACTTTAAATTCTTCAACCGAATTGTAAGGTAAACTTGAAAAATGTTTCCGTAGGTGCTCCAAAGCCTTCACATTTCTTGCATGTTGAAATTTCTCTTTCTTCAGTTCATTCTTCATTGCATCTAGTTCCATTTGTAGCTTCTTTAACTCAATGCCACCCTGCTCTTTCGCCTTCTCCACCAAGTTATATTTTTCAACCTCATGTTGCATTGTTAGCTTTTCCAGATCTATTAACAAATCCTTATTTTTTAATTTAAGGTCTTGAACTTCCAGTCTGGTCTGTTGCAGTTCTTTGCTTAAGCTGCTCACAGTGGTTCTCTTATCTTTTAAATCCTTTTCAAGAGCTTGAAGCTGAGAATCTTTTTTAAAGCTCTCTTGTATGATCTGTTTTAAATGTATGGTCCTAATTTGTAATTCTTGCTTGGCATTAAAGAGTGCAGTCTCTCTCATATCAACATGTTCTGTAAGTTTCTTGCTATTTTTCCTTAGTTCTTCCATCTCTGAATTTAGAATTGACATTTGTGCTTTTGTCTTGTTGTGTTCAGTCTCTTTTCTATGCATTCCTTGACGTAAAACAGCCAGTTCTTGAGCATTCCAAATACACTGGTCTTCGATTTCCTGAATGCCTTTTTCAATGGTCTTATCTGACCTGTTATATACAGAATTGTTACTTTGAGCATCCTTCTTTGATTGAATGCCTTTTACCTGTTGAACTGAAGGAACAGGTTTGGAGTCATATTCTCGCACAATAAGTACTGAAGTTTTGGATTTTCTTTTACGTTTCTGTTCTTCTTGAAACTTCACGATTCCTTGTTGATAAATCTCTTCAATTCTCTTGGCCCTAGTTGCAGCAAACTGCTCTGAAACTAATATCGGTTGTGGGTGAACACTTGGAGCAAGAAGATCTTGGGCGGTAAAATGTGGAGGAAATAACTCCTCCACCCAGTGTTGCTCCTTTCGTTGTTCCATTTTATTTTAAAGCTGTCCAAAAGGCCCAGATACCTAATCGTATCTTCACAACCTTAAAATAAGGAACACAGAAAAGATAATGTGAAGCCAAATATTCAAATGAACTAAAGAATTAAATGAAAAAAAATGGATCGAGTGTAATCAGCAGTCTGCAATTATGCACCTTCCACTGCTGAGGTCTGAAAGCAGACTATCCTGCTTCTCAGCACTGTACTGCAGGATGAAATCACGTCTATCTTTCAAACAAACCAGCAGCGATTCAGCCCTAATGGCCTATCGGATCATGAGTTTACAGATGCATTTGCAAGGACTTGTGAAGAGATAAGGAATGGGATCATGAGCAGCCATATCTCAAAATGTTCACACCACTCTAGAAAGAGACCTCTCTGGACCCTCAGACACAATGAGATACTGCACGTGAAGGAACATTGCAAGCCACAATGCTTGCACGTGCCATGGTACCTTTAGATAGTACCAATTTTTCAAGGGGAGCAAATTGCAGTGAAATAAATAGTCTCAAGTTTTTGTGCTTTTCAGTGAATACAAACCTTGAGCCCATCTCCATGTTTTAATGAATGTCCCTTCCCTGGGTTGCCCTGGTTACTCAGTGGCCACTCCAACGGCACAGAAAGTTCTTGCATTGAAATACTGGATCCTTATGCCGTTAGATAACATTACAAGAATATAATAATAATCCTTGCATTTGATACAGCGCCTTATCATGTCTTCGAGACAGTACACTGTAAAGCAAATTGACTGGATAATTTGTGGGCGAAACACAGCAGCCAATTGCGCACAACAGTGTCCCACAAAGAGTCAAGGTTTGAGCGACCAAATCCCTCACATTATTTTAACGGGAAAAGCGATCCGGCAACCGACTAAACAACCAAGTTCCTACCCAACGCTACGCTAAACAGAGGCGTGTGGCGTAAAGAAACTTGCCCGGGTTTCGCCCTGCCGGGAATCGAACCCGGGTCCTCTCGCTCGCTCGCTCGCTCGGCCAGCGCTCCGACCAATACGTTCCCAGTGGACCTGCTTAACATTTCCCCCACCGTCCTGCTCGCCCCGCCCTCGGCGGTCCGGCTTTTAGCGGATCCGACCCCAGTCTCCGGAAACTCACATCCCTGGAATCCATTCGGCTGCCCCTCCCCCTCCCCCCCCTCTCCCTCCCCCCCCCCTCAACCCAACCACCACCACCACCGCCTCCTTCAAGGCCCGTTTCAAGATGATCCGCTTCCAGTCCCCATTCCTCCCAAATCCCCGTCCTCAGCTCAGGGACAAACTCTGGACCGTCCAGCGCCCCCGGGCCTGGCCCTCCCCTCCCCCTCCCTCCCTCTCCCTCTGTGTAGAGTTCGTCGTTGTTGTCGTCGTCGTCGTTGAAGCGGCCGTTAAACTCACTCTCACGGTCTCTCCTGCGCCCGGTGACAAAACGCCGGTTCTCTCCCTCTCGACTTGAAAGACCATTATTTCTTTTTTTTATATATATATATAACAAATTAATAATAATATATATTTTTAAAGAAGATGAATTTCCTCCCCCCACCACCACCGCGAAAAAAAACTCTCCCGCGCTTCCGACCCACCGCCGTCGTCGCCGCCGCCACCGCCGCCGCCGGGTACACACGAACCAGTGACGTGCGAGCGCCGTCAGAGCGCACCCAGCTCGGTGACGCGTGGGCGGCGGTGCGCAAGAAGCGGTGACGTTCGCGCGAGGAGCGGTGACGTTGCGTTTGGAGACTCCTCCCTCACCTGCTCTTCCATCCCCGGAGGGAGGGGAGGGAAAAGCTTTTCGACCACGTGCTTCATTCAATGCTGTTCTTGTTCCCTCTCTCCCCCCCCCCCCCCCCCCAATCCAAAAAAAAAACCCCAAAGGAAACCAAACCAATTGATAAAAGTGGCATTTTGATCAAACCAAATTAAGCCAAAAAAGAGAGCAGTGGGTCACAAAGAGGACCTCGATGAAGACAGGAGGGCGAGAGAGCGAACCATCGCGTGAACTCAGAGAAAGCGATTGTTTGGGGGTTTTTTTGTAAAAAAAATGTAAACGTCTTATTTTTTTCCCCCCCTCCCCCGCAGGCAAACAACCATCGTGGAAAATCGATTCGCGACCTCGCCGTCGGGTGGGCGCCTCGCGACACCTCCCGTCGGAGGAGGAGGAGGAGGAGGAGGAGGAGTCCCGCAATCTCTCCGTTACGCGTTCGTTGGTCACCCCCGGGGGGGGAGGGAGATGGCGTCCCGATTCCGAAAAACAAGTGGCTGGGAACCCTCAGCAGGTCAGGCAGCGCCCGTGGAGAGAGGAAAAGGGAGTCAACGTTCCGGGTCCGCGGCCCTTGGCCAGAGCTGGGGCACGTCGGGAGGGAGAGGAGGGGGGGAGGGCCAGGGAGGCAAAGGAGATAATGGGGTAGAGGACGGGGGATGATGGGCGAGATGTTAATGATGCAAAACAAAGGGTCGTGGTCCCGAACATTGACTCGCTTTCCTTTCTCCATAGATGCTGCCGGACCTGCTGAGCGCTCCCAGTGACTGACTCTCTTTTTTTTTGTTTCAGATTTCCAGCGTCTACCGGATTTTGCGCGATGGCATCTGACTGTTGCACTGCACCGCTTTGCGTGTATATTTGAAATCTATAAAGTTTTTTTTAAAAAAAAGTTAAAGTAAAACTACAATAACATTTGGTCTAAATGCATATGAAACATGAAAGAGATAGTTTAACTTGTACCTTTTTCAAGCGAGAAGATGGTTAAATGATGTGTTAGAACTCCTTTCCACATTGTCATTGATATGGAGACTATATTATCATTCATGATAGGCTTACTGCCTATCTCAAGACCTTTCTCTTTGACCGTGCCTTCAGCTCCCCTCTCGACTCTCTACCCCCTCCTCGCTCCCTCCCTTCCCTCCCCTCACCCTGACCATTTCCCCCCTCCTCGCTCCCTCCCTTCCCTCCCCTCACCCTGACCATTTCCCCCCTGCTCGGGTCCTGACCCAACTGTCCAGCGCCTTGGGACGTCCTCCCGACGTGAAAGGCGCTCTATAAATGAAATCTTGTTGTTGTTGTTGTTGTACTGGTTCACGACATTTAAATATTTAAATCATTTAGAAATTGAATAAAGTGGGTCATTTACTTCATGGCTATTTGTGGGATATTCCTGGGTGCAAATTACTGCTGCAATCGCCTCCAAAGTAGTCATTACACTTTACATTAAATCCTGTGAAGTGCTTTGCGACATCCTCTCAACATGAAAGGTGCTACATCAAAGGCATGGATTATTATATTTCATTACTTTAGCATAATCACAGAAAACTACAGTATTCCAGCGCATTCTCATCTATGATTGACAGCCAGTGTATTAAACCCAATATGAACAAATAGTAAGTGATATTATTTAAGTATACATTGAATAACAACTTACTGTTGACTTAGCATTAGAAGCATGAAAAATATGTAGAATTTGATGCATTGGTAGAGAAAGGTTTAATAAAGGAGTTCAAAATTATGAGGGGTTTTGATAGATCAGTAGATAGGGAGAAACTGTTTCCTCTAGCGGGTGACACAGATTTAAGATAATTGGCAAAAGAACCAGAGGGGAGACGAGGAGAACTTTTCAATTGACTCAAATATTGTTCAAATTGTGACTTCTGACCATCAAACTCCCATGTGATAGAGCCCTGATCAAAAATCAGGAAGCAAGCATTTTACGAACAAGGTTTGGTATTGATTCTGTTTTTCTGTTGTTACCTATATTCAATAGGTTTAATAAACCTATAATAATAATAAACCTATAATAAATGTAGCTTTCAAATAAATGGATATTAGTAGGAGTGCTCTGATGCATTTCAGCGAAGCATACATAAACAATTTGTTGATAGTTTTTTTGTTCTGATTCAAACTTGTACTAACCTAACATTAGACCTCCTCAGGCTTCATTTAAAAACACAATTTAATTTCACATTTTTCCACTTTAAGTCCCTGTGTCTTTGTTCTGCAAGTTAACTTATTTTTTTAAAATTTTGCATTTGAAAATCTGTTTTTTTTCTAAAGTTTAAGTGTCATTTATTGTTATGTTCAACTATTGCAAATTCCAACAAATACATTTTTTTAAAAAATGGAAGCACAAAGCATCTTCAATTCGCAAACAGTGGCACGATCATGTTTCACACTGAACACATAATCTTTTGGGAATGGGGTCAAGCTGAAAGGGCAGGACATCCTGCTGAACATGCAGATGAAGCAGATTCAGAGTCCTGACTGTGGATTCAAAATGGTGGTGGCAGCAAAGAAGGAGGATATTTCTATTGTGTATGTTGCTCATGACAGGATCATTATATTAACAATGTGTACTGCTAACAAGAAATAGGTTCCAAGTATGGAAACGTAAAATGGTTACTGTAGTAATATACCACAGAGAAAACAAAAGCTGAACAAAAGCTAAACATGATTTGGAAGATATTGTACCAAATAAAACAGGAATGAGTGTTAAAAGAGTGGTCGATATCGAGTGAATAATAATTGAAAAAACTATTATATTGATCAGTGTCAACATAAAACTTTTTACCTGCAATTAATGTTAATATGTTTGCTTAGACTACCATTTAAGAATCAAATTTGAGTTGTAACAAAACAGTATTAAGGATCAGATTTTATACCTTGTTTTTATTAATACTGTAGTTGTATTGACAAGATGGAATTGTAATAGATTCAGACTGTGGGGACACATGTTTACTAAGCCATGTTAGAACTTTTCTGCTTTAAGGAGATCAAATTTAGTCCAATGCAACAGAATACAATTTGTACTTATTTGAACATCTTAATAATTAGAGCTCCTTCCTCAGAAAGCTTTTAAGAGCAGGGGATAATCCCTGAATCTTGGAAAATGTTATTAAATGGGAACAAACCAGAATGATGATGTGCTTTTTACGAATTAACTTTATCAGATTGCTTAATGCAATTATAAATATAGCTGTAGTTCATTTGCATAGCTGTCCCAGGATTTTCTAACTGATAATGCAGCAAATAGAGTAATTCTGCAGAGTTAGTTAACCATTACCATCTAATATATTGACTATCTAAGATTCAGCAATGGAAACAGAATAATTATCTGGTGTCACACATGCTAATCCCTTCTCTACTTATATCCCTCCCCCCACCCATCACTGCTCAATCTCTGTACATTCAGTTTTTGATTTGTATGTAAATGATGTTAAAGAAAGTTCACTATGGAAACTTCATTGCCTGTTTCAGAATGCTTACAATTGTGTCAACACTTCAAACAGTCAATGGGCTAACATAAATAGATTGGTTTTAAAATCATAACAATTGGGAAAAATTGGTGTAACTACTTCTTTGCTTCTATTGCAATAGACAGTATACCAAACATGAGTGTATTTTTAAAAAAACAAATGAAGACATCAGAGGCTATGGGAGAAAGAAAACATTTGCGGTTGGATTTTAAGATGCTTACAAATTAATTAATAAACAAGAGCTCTGTTGTCTAAAGTAGCATATCTACCTTTTGTTTGCTTACCTCATATTCATTAGATAAAGAAATAAGTGTAGGAAATACTAGAAGCACATCCTGGATGAAGCAAATTGAAGCCATTTAACACCATATTATCTTATGTAACTCAAACTGAAGTGATGATAAGAACTTGTATTTAGACATTCACAGTATATCAGTGTTTGTTCACTTTCTGAAAACATAATAACTGATGGCAAAATAGAGAACTGGAGAACAACTGGCAATTGTGGAGCATTGTTCTTGTGACTTAACCGGTTGTTCCTCCTGGTGAGATAAAAGCAGTGTAGCAAAAGTCATCATTGAATACTCTGGTTATACCCTCAGCATCATTAAAATGAAAAATGCAATTTTAGAATTGCTTTTGATTTGATTGTAATTGTTTAGAATGGATTGGAGCTCACGTTAGTCATGTGAGAATTGTCCCTTACGACTCAAGTTGTTTATTACTGTGCTTCCACAACACAGTGTGTTGTGATTTTGTTTCCACTGCCAGAAATCTATGTATATAAACACTATCACTGACAATGCATTACAGAGATTCATTTAATAAGGAAAAAACCTGGACTTTTGATATACGAGTCATTTGAACTAGTGAACAATCTGTTACAGAAAATACTACTACAATAGACAATAAATATTAGAATTTGTAAAAACCCTTTTTTAAAAAAAAATCCTCCAGTTCCTATCAGCATAAGTTTTATTAAGGGTAGTCCATCATTACATTTACTCGTTTCATCCAGTAATAAAAATGATAGTGGTGACAACTGGTTCACAAAAACATTTTGATATTTTGAAGATCCAATGGATGTTGTTTTCTAATTCAGTAGAACATTGTTAGAAGCAGGAAAATCAGTATCAAAAGCAGTTAAAAGGCAAACAAGGGTTATAACAAACTGAGAATTACTGTGAGGATTTTGCAATAAGGTAAATCGAAGCTAATTTAATCATTTGAAATTATTTAAATATT